TAAACAAAGAAATAATGCACCTGTCACAAGCCCTGAAACCTCTGTCCTGAGGAAGACGGGGGTGGGAGTCAGATGGTAAAAGCAATACCAATTCCTGCCCCACCCCTACCCCCTCCATTGTGGATGAGAGAGGTAACAGATGACTGGTACATAAAAACATATTCTTCTACAGCTGTTCCTAGATGTTTTATTTTGAAAACTAATACAAGCATTTAATCAACAAGAGCTGTCTGTAGGACAGCATGCTCGACTATTCTAAGTGCTTGATAGTAAAAGAGCCTTGATATTGTTAAATTTTTTAAGTTCACAAAAGGGCTATTTTTTTTTTATAAATTCATGTTATAGGCCTTACAGAGAGTCTAATTATACAGAATTGGCTTGACTATTCGGAAGGTAATGTCACAAGGGTTTTTTTTATTGAGTATAATAATACTAATTACCTTTGAATACATAAATTTGACAGAAAAGGTACAAAGGCTTGTTATTAAGATGTTTTATCAAGTAAATCACTGCTTTATTATTATGAATGCATAAAATTGTCCCAAAAAAGGCGCAAACCCTTCAGTAGTTATTGAGATAACAGCTTACAAACAAAACGTTACCATGAATTTCTAAGTTGAAAAAGGGGAGAAAAATCAGCCTAAATGCAAGATTGAATTATGGATCTTTGTCAGTGACCTACAATTATGACCCTAAATGCATATGTGAAGTTTTAGATAAATATCTTTAATAGTTATTGAGATATGTAAAACTTGCATGTAAACATTAACCAAGAGACTAAGTAGAAAAGGGGATATGAATCAGCCTTAATGCAAGATAGAGTTATGGAACTTGGTCAGTGACATACAATTATGACCCTCCAATTATGACCCTAAGTGCATGTGTAAAGTTTCAAGTAAATATCTTTGAAGACCGTTAACCTTTAACCAAAATTTCTAAGTTTCAAAGGGGCAAATAATTCTGCAAATATTGCAGACAGAGTTATGCAATTTTGCAAACTGATGTACATTGTTACTATAAATAAGTATTTTAAATTTCAATTGAATATCTCAAGCAATAATTGAGATATTTGACTTTACAAAAAAACTTTAACCAAAATTTCTAAGTTCCAAAGGGGGCATAATTCTGTCAATATGGTAGGCAGAGTTATCCAACTTGTCAATCTGATGTACATTGTTACTATAAATAAGTATTGTAAGTTTCAATTGAATATCTCATGCAATAATTGAGATATTTGACTTTACAAAAAACTTTAACCAAAATTTCTAAGTTAAAAAGGGGCATAATTCTGTCAATATTGTAGGCAGAGTTATCCAACTTGTCAATCTGATGTACCTTGTTACTATAAATAAGTATTGTAAGTTTCAATTGAATATCTCAAGTAATAATTGAGATATTTGACTTTACAAAAAACTTTAACCAACGCAGATGCCGACGCGGACGCTGACGCCGACGCCGACGCCGGGGCGACTACAATAGCTCTCATATTCTTCGAATAGTCGAGCTAAAAATTTATAGACAAAAATATCTAGTAATATTAACACTTAAAGAATGTTGATTATAAGAAACTGACAAATACAATGTATATAGTAATATTTTTAAATCACTAACTTAAAAATGATTTATAAAAAAAGAAAAAAATCTTATATATGACATAATAAATTGTAAGTCTTTAATAATTGACTATAATGGTTAGACCCTAAGATTTAGTGTGTCAAACATACAAAAATATGCTTTTCCATGGTTTAATGTCAAACACATCACTGTTCTTTCTTTGATGAATAGGAACATGCACAAATTCAATAAAGTTGTTTATTAAAACTATGTTAAAATAATCTATTCATTTAAAGATGATATTTTATTATGTGTAAGAGTTTACAAAACAAGAACTGTCGGAGGACAGTAACGCTCGACTATTCGAAAATTTGTCACAAGGGTGTTTCATTGAGTATAATAATGCTTACCTATATGAATACATAAAATTGTCCGAAAAGGTACAAACCCTTCAAGTTTCAATAAATTCCCTTTAGTAGTTATGGAGATACAAGCTTACACACAAAAACTTAACCAAGAATTTATGAATCAAAAAAGGAGCATAATTATGCGAAAAAGTAAATCAGAGTTATAGGACTTGTGCCAATCATCTTAGATAATCACAGACAACAAGAGTGTGAAGTTTCAATCCATTCCCTTTAGTAGTTATTGAGATACCAGCTTACACGCAAAAACTTAAACAAAAATTTCTAAGTCAAAAAATGGGCCTAATTATGCAAAAATGCAAATCAGAGTTATGGGACTTGTGCCAATCATCTAAGATAATCACAGAGACCAAGTGTGTGAAGTTTCAATCCATTCCTTTCAGTAGTTATGGAGATACCAGCTTACACGCAAAATCTTAACCAAAAATTTCTAAGTCGAAAAAGGGGCATAATTATGTATAAAAGCAAATCAGAGTTATGGCATTTGTGCCAATCATCTTAGATAATCACAGAGAACAAGTGTGTGACGTTTCAATCCATTCCCTTCAGTAGTTATGGAGATACCAGCTTACACGCAAAAACTTAACCAAGAATTCATAAGTCAAAAAAGGGGCATAATTATGTAAAAAAGCAAATCAGAGTTATGGGACTTGTGCCAATCATCTTTGATAATCACAGAGAACAAGTGTGTGAAGTTTCAATCCATTCCCATCAGTAGTTATGGAGATACCAGCTTACATACAAAAACTTAACCAAGAATTTCTAAGTCGAAAAAGGGGCATAATTATGAAAAAGAGCAAATCAGAGTTATGGGACTTGTGCCAATCATCTTAGATAATCACAGAGAACAAGTGTGTGAAGTTTCAATCCATTCCCTTCAGTAGTTATGGAGATACCAGCTTACATACAAAAACTTAACCAAGAATTTCTAAGTTGAAAAAGGGGCATAATTATGTAAAAAAGCAAATCAGAGTTATGGGACTAGTGCCAATCATCTTAGATAATCACAGAGAACGAGTGTGTGAAGTTTCAATCCATTCCCTTCAGTAATTATGGAGATACCAGCTTACATACAAAAACTTAACCAAGAATTTCTAAGTCGAAAAAGGGGCATAATTATGTAAAAAAGCAAATCAGAGTTATGGGACTTGTGCCAATCATCTGAGATTATCACAGAGAACAAGTGTGTGAAGTTTCAATCCATTCCCTTCAGTAGTTATGGAGATACCAGCTTACATACAAAAACTTAACCAAGAATTTCTAAGTCGAAAAAGGGGCATAATTATGTAAAAAAGCAAATCGGAGTTATGGGACTTGTGCCAATCATCTTAGATAATCACAGAGAACAAGTGTGTGAAGTTTCAATCCATTCCCTTCAGTAGTAATGGAGATACCAGATTACATACAACAAGAACTGCCGGAGGACAGTAACGCACGACTATTCGAAAATTTGTCACAAGGGTGTTTCATTGAGTATAATAATGCTTACCTATATGAATACATAAAATTGTCCGAAAAGGTACAAACTCTTTAAGTTTCAATACATTCCCTTCAGTAGTTATGGAGATACAAGCTTACATGCAAAAACTTAACCAAGAATTTCTAAGTCGAAAAAGGGGCATAATTAGGTTAAAAAGCAAATCAGAGTTATGGGACTTGTGCCAATCATCTTAGATAATCACAGAGAACAAGTGTGTGAAGTTTCAATCCATTCCCTTCAGTAGTTATGGAGATACCAGCTTACATGCAAAAACTTAACCAAGAATTTCTAAGTCGAAAAAGGGGCATAATTATGTAAAAAAGCAAATCAGAGTTATGGGACTTGTGCCAATCATCTTAGATAATCACAGAGAACAAGTGTGTGAAGTTTCAATCCATTCCCTTCAGTAGTTATGGAGATACCAGCTTACATACAAAAACTTAACCACAGGGACGCCGACGCCGACAAATGGGTGACTGCATTAGCTCGATTATTCTGCGAATAGTCGAGCTAAAAACTTAACCAAGAATTTCTAAGTCAAAAAAGGGGCATAATTATGTAAAAAAGCAAATCAGAGTTATGGGACTTGTGCCAATCATCTTAGATAATCACAGAGAACAAGTGTGTGAAGTTTCAATCCATTCCCTTCAGTAGTTATGGAGATACCAGCTTACATACAAAAACTTAACCACAGGGACGCCGACGCCGACAAATGGGTGACTGCATTAGCTCGATTATTCTGCGAATAGTCGAGCTAAAAATGCAGTAAGAAAGCAAGAATAGGTATTTGATACCTATTTAATTAAAAGGCATTGGTATATGAAAGAATGAGATTTTTAACATGGTTTATTTTAGACTTTAAATATTAACCTTCGATGCAGATCTTTGATTTGAATAAAAATCAAAATTTAATCAGCTCATAAAAAAGTGTTAAACAAGCAATATCAAGGTTGAAGGAAGCACTTAAATGAAGTAAATCGTTAGTATTTCAGTCCATATTAATGTATTAACATATATACATGTATACATATGAAAGGAAAACATGTTCATTAACTTACATGTCAAAATATCAATAAATAATGTATTAGTGATTGTAATGTGGCACATTTTTTTTCTTTTTACAAAGACTTAGCACTTACATAGGCAAGAATACCAGCAGCTTTATAATTAGATGTGAATCCATAGGTATAATTTTTAACTTTGTAGATATGACATCTTAGGATCTAGGCTACATGTATACAGTATAACTTCTACCTTTCTCATTATACATAAACTCTGTAGATATAACTCTATGTTACTTCTACAACATCAATCAGCTAACAACAAATTACCTCGTGTTCCTGCAAAGTAGCTGATTTACAACACTGTGAATCAGGAAAGAATTAATAAATAATACATTGTATTACTGTAGTTTCATCAGGTAATGGTATATTGCAAGTAATGTTTTGCAATTCTCAAAGACACCTGGATGTTATATTTTACCTTTTGTTGCTACATGATTTTTAAGATTTCTTTCGAAAAAAACAAAACAAACAAGTACAAATATATCAGACGGAAATTATTTTGTCTTGCAAAATCAAATTGCAAAATAAAGAAAAAACATGCAGTATTATTGTTTGTAACAAATGGGAAGCACCAGATCTAAACTTTCAAAACAATAATTTTATAATTGTATTAACTAGTTCTTCATTTATGTAAAAAGTGAATATCATAGAATATAATTGTTTATGTAAAATTAAATCTGTCATTCCACTCTGGTTTCGGTCCTGATGCTTTCTTTCTTCTAGATGGTGAATCAGAATCCTAAAATATAGAATATTATACTATAATCAATTAATTTAACTATAAATATAGAAAATTATACTGTAATCAATGAATTAAACTATTTTAAAATCTGGTTTTGATTTGACTCATTTCTGGGCAAGTCTTAAATGTTCTTTTATTAAACTTTCCTTAACACCATTGTGTTTATCATGCTATCAAATGTGTTGTGACAGATTAACTTCAAGAAAATTTGATATGTCACTAAATTAATAAAAAATATACATTGTAGTATTGATTTTTTTCTTGCATGAATAGAGCATATTGTTAACAATTTTGTTGTTAACAAATATTTCATTGTTGCAAAAAACACGGATTATTTATTATATACTACAATGAACAATACAGTACAATGGTGAAAAAACTGATGAATAATCATTAGAATGACAGAAATCAAAACCTCATAGATTTTTATACAAATTATTTAAACTATAAAGTTTTACTTAACAAATATCATTTTGTTGCAAAAAACATCGAGACTTGTTAAAACAAAACAATGAACAATGGTGAAAATACAGGTCAATAGTAATGGCAGAGCCTGAGATAGATTTTGATACTTGTATAACAAAAAAACATAATTATTATTATCAGTTTAGACATTTAGTTTACATTAACATTACAAAAGATTTAAAATTAAAGAGAAATTATTTTCGTACACAATAAGGCAGCATGCAATTGTAAGACTTGATTAAAAAATTTGGCTTAATAACAACCAAATTCATACAAATGGATAAACGCAACACCCCTTTTTATTTTTAAAAAAGACTTTAATAACATATGTGTATATTTCTATATCTTTTGGTACTGTTTACCAAAAGAGGATATCAGAGAATATTGTTCATAGTTAAAATTTATGTGACAAAATGCACTTAATATGTAAAAAAAATTGATATAATGTATTAAGTAATAGAAAGAGCATCAAAACACAGGGTTCTCTGTGACGCTTTTTTCGGCGTCCCAGTAAGCATGCTTATTACAGCTGGATGCAAATATTTCAGAGCAAGGATTCCGCGTACGCTTAATTCTGTCTGGGGGACGCATAAGCATTACCGATTGTTTAAACACAAGGCTATCTGATATGTACTAGGGGGCAAATCCTCAAGTTTTAATCAGATTGCTGAGTGTTTTGATGTTCTTCTTCCTTTGTATAATAGGCAAAAATAAAAACATGTTCCCTGTTGTCACAGTGTGAAACACCAGAAAAAAAGTAACCAATGAAGGAGGATCTGTATATGATTTCTATCGCTATCCCTTCTTCTACTGTCTTGCGTGCGAGTAACTAATACCTGCACACCAGTAAGGCCCCCACGATTACACGTTTAAACGGATTCGTTTCGATTTTCATTCGTAAACGGTTACGATATTTTTTACCGTTTAATCGAAATAACCATATTGTCTTAAATTATCTTAATCATTACCTGTAATCATGGGTTCTATCTATTCTAATTGGTTGATTCCAAAGTAAAAAAAAATGGAAAATTGGTGTTTACAACCCCCCACACAGCATCGCCGTGCAATAATCGCTCGTGTCATAATACATTTTTGGTAAAAATGATTTCCTTTGATCTTTCAAATAATGAAAGGGGGATATATTGCAGAAAATAGTTGCCGACTCAATCGTGATGAGCCCTGAATATGATTTACTTGTACATGTATTTAAACTCGAAAGTAAGTCATCATTTAGCTAACTCTTATACATTGTGTAGTTTAATTCAAAGAAGTACCACCGTTTAAACGGTATCGTTTCGGTTCTTAGCAATCGTGTAAACGTTTACAAAAAAATGTAAACGTGGGAGCCTTACACTCCAGTTAATGCACTGTGCATGTATATGTATATGATTTAACTCTGACACATATTCAACAGAAAGGTCCCCAAACTATGATACAACATATCTCAACTTCAAGGGACCTAGACAGGGACTTTTAACTGTACCTGACTGCTGCTTGTTAAAAGTCTGAAATCACAGTATATTTACACTAGTGTGAATTGAGAGAGTTGAAGGAAATTCTTTGTCACTAGTTAATAATTATCATGACTTAAACAAAAGTCTTACAGATAAAAAAATAAAATAAAAGTTTCTGAAGTGCATCATTTTCAAAGTTAATTTTAAATATGAAAGAGCATTATAGTCTAAAAACAGGACAGACTAACATGCTCTGTATTGAAATGCAATATCAATAATCACCTTTCTAATAGCAGTTTTAGATGTTGACTTTGAACGGGGAACTGCAGGATCACTCATTACCGGTTTTGTATCTTGAACACTTGTTTTAGATCTTCGTAGTTTAATAGCATAGACACTTGTGTCTTTTTCTCCTGTAATAGGTGGTAAAACTTTTCTGATACCAAATGATGAACCATTTCGAGATCCGTGATTTGATGACACTGCCGAGCCTGATGCACTTGCTTTTCCATTACCTAGTCGTGATTCCATATTAGATTTACTTCTTGATTTTACCTTTGGTTTTGAATCTGAGGATTCATCATCTTGACGTCTTAACATTTCTTTAAGCTTTCTATTCATTTTATAAGCTTCCTGTAGCAAATCCTCAGTGTCTTCTTCAGTTAAATCAACATTTTCCAACATGTTTATGACACTATTTGGGTCTGTAAGATCTAACTCTTCGGTGTAACTGGTTGGACTTATTTTACCACAATTTGGCTCATTTGTAGAATCTGTATCATTCTTTGATTTTTCATGACCATCACTGGTCATTTTATCATTTACCTTGTCACAGTGATCGCCTAATCCAGTCGGTACCTCATTTTGAGACGCGTGTTTTTCCTGTTCCAACATATTTTCTCTTTTATCAGCCGTTGAAAGTACATCAGAAATCCCTCCGTCTTTAGTCCGAAATTCCGATTCATCCATATTAAACAATTAAATCATTTACAAATAAGCTTCAATATAAAACAGCTTAAAATAAAATAAATGGCAAATATCACATTCCAATTCATTCAAGGCGTCATTCGATACAGAAATAGCAACTAATAAGGGGAGAGTACTCTTATAATACTGTTAGACTGGGCCAACGCATTTCATCTACAAACAATAACTGTTGTATTATTGATGGAAACCAATCTAAATGCAGACGATGCACGTGTGAGGCAAACGAGCAAGTGTAAATAAATGAGAAATACAAATGTATGTGTATTAAGTGTTTTAAAATTCTTGAAGCATTTTAAATGATATTTAAAGTTTGAAACATAATTTTTATATGAAATTTAAATTCACAGGGCGAGACAATAGCATGGTTACCATGCAATTATCGTATAAGTATCTAATCTCCCACCCAACCTATTCTCAAACCTTTCATTCATGTGCTGTTATTTTTTTTTACTAGAAGTGACTATGATGTCCTTAACTTGTGTGCATAAAAGCTTAGTTTCAGACAGACATGTGTGCTGATGTCAAATGAAAACAGTGCATAGGAACAAATATTTACATAACATATTTTATTACTTAGCGGGCTAGTTAGCGTTTTTTCATACAAATTGCAATTACCATTGTAAGTCCCATAAATACACCATTCACTATTTGTGAAAATGAATATTATAGACAAAAATACCTTAAAGCAGGTACCTGCTAAGGCTCCCACGTTTACAATTTTTTGTAAACGTTTACACGACTGCTAAGAACCGAAACGATACCGTTTAAACGGTGGTACCTCTATGTACTATACACACCATGTATTTGAGTCGCCAAATGATGTCTTTCTTTCTATTTTTAATACATGTACAAATAAAGAATGTGCAGGGCTCATCACGATTGAGTCAGCACACATTTTTTGCATTGTATCCCCATTTTTTACTAAAAATGTATTATGTCACGAGCAATTTTGCACGGTAATGCTGTGTGAAGGGTTGTAAACACCCATTTTCCGTTTGTTTACTTTGGAATAAACCACTAGAATTGATAAAATCCATGATTACAGGCAATGATTAAGAAATTTTGTAAGACAATATGGTCATTTCGATTAAACGGTAAACAATATCGTAAACGTTTATGAATGAAAATCGAAACGAATCCGTTTAAACGTGTAATCGTGGGGGCCTTAGTACCTGCATCGTGTAGGGTACTTCATTGTCATGTGATAGTCATATAACAATCACTTTATCGGCTAAACTAAACAGTAGAATTTTAGAGATACTTGAAGGGGTTTGAGATTAGGTTCTTTATTTTAAGAGGCCATGTCAGTTTTAAAACAGAGGGTTGTGCTTTTCCAAAACGGAAATAGAGCTTTTTAATTGTTGAATTTCAGTCAAATTTTACAGGAATGTTACATAAAGATTATAGTGTACCTTATTATGTAAAAACTTTTTTTGAAGATATATTTTATTTAAACTAAAAGACCTCTTGAATGCTTTGAGGTTTGAGAACTGGTTAGTCCACGATAACTGTCACTGGTGCCTTAATTAATCACAGAGCTAGGTAAATCTTTAAATGGTTAATCTAGTTGAGTAGTTCTCATTAGAGTATATGTACAGATTATGCACCAGTCACCTAAGTCTGTCAACACAACCTGGGGTTTAATTTTTTATCTTGCTCAAGGTCAATGTATTCTGGTCAAATTGGTACCCTCTTTGCAAAATCTACTATTTAAAACAGTACCCTCTAAGGCTCTTTGTACTTGCACAAGTCATTCTCTGCTGAAAACAAGTAGGCAACATACATTTTCAGTTCATAAAAACACCTTATTTCGGCTTCTCAATGGCAGGGATTACCTACTTGCTATTGATTTTTCCTATGACACTACCCCTCTCTCTCTTAGTTTGTCATTGTCCATGTTGGACATTCATTACCGAGTGTGTTAGGTCCTTTACTACAAACCACTTGCCCCTCACTGTTTAGGGTTCAAATCGTGCCTGTGACTGAATTATTTTACTTGAGGTAGTTATAAAGCTAACTTACTGTTCTTCTCAGAAGTGAGACATATCTATCTAACTTCTTATTCCATTCAGAGGCAAAAAGGTCTATATCAGGTTTGAATAAAGTTCCACAAATTCTTTCAAAAATGTCTGGTTTCAAAGACCATTCAGTACTCTCCGAGAAATTCCTTGAAAAATAATCAGCATACACATTATCTACACCAGGAATATAGGATGCAGAAAGAAAAATATCCCTAGACAAGCACCATTCCCAAAGGTCTTTGGCCAACAAATCCATTGATAAGGAAGTCATTCCACCTAGGTCATTTACATAAGCTATAGCCGAAACATTGTCTGACTTTATCTCTATATGGGTATCCCGCACCTCATTATACAAAGCTCGGACTGCATTGAAAATAGCTAATAATTCCAGATAATTTATAGATTTATCAAACAAAGAAGAATTCCATCTTCCATTAACAGATTTATTAAGTTCTTCATCATACGAGCCCCACCCAACAAACGAAGCATCACAATAACACCAGTATTCAACTAGTCCAGGCCTTATATGTTTTCCATTTTTGATGGTGACATTATTTTTCCACCACAACAACTCCTCTCGACTATCCTTACTGAGGACAACCTTATTATCAAAATTCATGTTAGAACCAAGACCTAACAATTTATTTCTTTCTAAGCTTCTATAATGCAATGGGGCTTCAAGAACTGCATAAAATGCATTGATCACTAACCCTATAAAAGAGGCCAGATCTTGGACAACAACAATCTCCTGTAGAAGATTAGAAGCCGAAGAAACTATTTTTTGAACTTCTCATCTGTCAGGAAAACCATAAATAAAACGGAGTCCAAAACAAAACCAAAAAATATCAACCTCTGTGTGGGGACAAGAACAGATTTCTTTTTATTCACTGTATAACCCAAAGAAGATAAAGTGTCACACATTAAAACTGTATCATTCCTACAAATTTCTTTATCTCTGTTCATGCTTAAAGAGTCATCTATATAATATGAACATCTTATACCCTGATACCTAAACCAAGCATAAATTGGCTTTAAAATCTTGGTAAAAACTCTAGGAGCTGATGACAAACCAAAACACAAGCAAACAAATTCGTACAGAACTCCGTTCCACATAAACTTCAAAAACTTACGAAAATCTTTGTGGACAGGAATAGCAAAATATGCGTCAGTTAAATCAATTTTACAAAAATAATCAAACTTTTGAACCAAATCTAACACCAAATTAAAATGTTCTTGTTTAAAATGTTCGTAAACGATAAATTTATTCAAATGTTTCAAATTAATAATGGGTCTAAACTTCCCACCAGGTTTGGATACCGTAAATATGGTAGAAATATATTGTCCAGGTTCTGGTACAGACCTTTCAATGGCACCTTTCCTCAAAAGGTCCTGCACTTCCAAATCAACAACATTATGTTCTTCCTCATTAAAATGAATTTGTTTAGGAACAACATTCTGGAAGAGGACTGACTCAAATTCAATACAATAACCAGTTACTGTTTGAAGAATCCACGCATCATGAGTAAACTGTTTCCAAACATCCAAACAAAGTTTAAGCTTACCTACATGAGAGGTGTCCAGTCTGTTTAGTTTGGGGCACTTGAAACTGTTGCTGACGCCCTAGCTCTTCCCCGTCTCAAAAGAGGGTTTTGCTGCCCATACTGCTGCTGGCTATACTGTTGCCTGCCATATTGCTGACCATAAGGCTGGAACCTGTTTGGTCTTCTTCCCCTGTAATTAACACCTCGACCCCGAAAGGATCTCTGGGGACCATAATAAGATGTACCATATTTTTCTTTTGCTAAAGAGAAACCAACATCACAATTTTTAACCTCTTTTGCAAGGTCATCACCAAACAATTTTGTGGTAATGGGTACATTAATATTACAAAGATTGGTATATTTCTTATTCAGAAAAGGCCTACATTGGTATCTACGTCTTAAAGACAGATTAAACTGAACTTGACCAGTTAAAGAAATCAAATCAGTTAAGATACTTTTTGCTTCAACATTGCTTTTAATATGATGCTTGAGCACAGAAGCCAATTTAACAACTGCAACCATCTCAGCCGCAACTATATTTTGGATATCTACCAAACAACGATCCTGACTCTGACCCTTCTTGCCTAAAACTTTCCAAACATCAAGGTTAACAGATGGTGGAGCCAAGAAATCACAATTTTCTGGCACGTTATACTTGTGCAAAATATCTGAGACACTTGACTGAGTAGTGCAAGAGGAATTAACTAGTTTTGCCAAATTCTTGTCAATACTTGGACCTTTCTCGGAAACCAAGATCTGGGGTAAATCCCACTCATCATCATTCTCTGAATTTTCATCATCATCACCAAACAAAGCCTTTTCAAGGTCTCTTCTATCTTCTTCATTGGGGAAAATTCACAGTAAAACAGTCATCTGAATCAGCTAAAGAAATATCATCAGGGTTCACCTCTACCCGTAAATTTGGTCTATTTCGAAAACTCTGCGAGTTTTCCTTATTGTTCAAACCTAATTTTGTTTTCAAAATACCAATATCATGAGGAGATAAATCTTCCAAATTAATGTCACTCTTCTTTTTCTTACTTTTCTGAGACTTAGTCTTAGACTTGGCAGTAGACTTTTTAGTCACAACTGATTTTAATTTCTTTGGGACACGAGCCCTAGACTTTTTCTTCCGTTTGACAGGAGAATCATGCACCTCAATTTCTGCGCCAACAGCAGGCGTTACAACAAATTCAGAAGGCAAATCAGCTTCTTCGAAGCCTTCGAACTCTTCCCTAGAGTCAGATGAATCGGCGCATAGACTAAGGACTTCGTCCTCGTTTTCCTCGTTGCAGCTCATTATTCCTTAATAAAAAGGACCAACGATAAAAAACTAATACCAACACTACGTGCCGGCAAAGAGCTGTACAAAATAAAAACTGTCTCGACCAAGAAACTTACCGATAAAAGATGAAAAAAGCTAAATAAAATTCAGCCTGAGACTACACGTGTGTACCTATCCAGCGCTCGGTAAACTATGATTATCAAACGCTCGAGTGATCATGATGTGTGTGACGTAGTACGACTAGTTTATTTTGCGTTTTTATCTTTGAAATGCGGTACCTATCTCGCGAACCTCGATAAACATGCTATTTGTATACATGTGCAAGGCCGAAGGCCTTACGAAAAATAATAAACATGACTGTGCAGGCAAATTGATTGTAATTTGATTCATTTCAGAACTGTATGACCAGTGCATATGTTTAAAGATTGTCAAACATATAATGGAAGTTAAGAACGTGAGGTGCTGTGACACAGCAGCCTTAGTGGCACTCATTAACATGCTGAAAGTGAACCTGAGTTCAACACCTGAGATTTACAATACACTTTTAGCTGTGCTTTGTGACTTTGATCCATGTAAACTTGGCAGCAGAGATAGAGTAAGAATGAAATTCTCACAATTCAAGCAGAGACATTAATAGTATCTTCTTGTTCTTAATTAGAAAAGTCCATATGTTTTTTTGTTACGTGTAGTGTTTCAGTTTCTGCATGACAAGGATTAAATCACTATTCTGTTTTAAAAGATTTATTGTCATCAGTACATTTTTTGTACTAATTCAATTATGATTATTTTTTCTCTAAGCACTATCAACGTACTTGTCTTATTATATTGAAAAATGTGTCTTGATTGTTGAAAATTGTCATTTATTTTAACTTCTTTATAATTCATTTATTATTATGTAAGTTAGTGTAATAATTTTACAGTAAATGGACCCCATTGGAAATAAGCTTTTAGCTTAATGGGCAATCCTAGGGTTACATAGAACATACTCATTAATTAATCTTATAATTATTTTTGTTGCATTTATGTGTGTGTTTTTATATATATGCAAGTTGATATATGTGATAACATTGTATGTGTATATGTCTATTCCCCTGAATAAATCGATACGATCAAACATTTTTCAATCCAGTACTTTCACTCACTGATGTGAATAAGGAGTGCAAAAAAGTGCAGGGTTTCCATATGAAGTAAAAATAATTTTTTAAGACCACCAATGGGACTGGATCAGTGTGCTTGATATTGAAATCAAATCGAACATTTGGCAAATCATTGCAGTAAAACTCTAGTACAATGTATCTGCATCATTCATATCATTTGTTCAGTAGCAAGCAGGAAAATTATTTTTAAATTATATTTTACATAAAAAGAAGGTTTAAAACAGAATTGTTAAAGAAATAGAAAGAGAAAGATACGTTTTCTTTGCTGAAGATTGTTATTGCTATACATTTATTGATGAATTTTCAAAGACCATTGCATTCATCTGTTCAATATAAGAATGGAAATTTTATATATTTTATGATTACAGACTGTGAGATATATTCGCTTGTTAATCACAGACAAAGTACTAGCTAACTGTCTTCTTATGTCACTTCCACAAGGTATGATAGCTTTAGATATTTCAAATGTTTTATTTAAGTATTAAGCACATGTGATTTGAAATTAAATATTGTTCATTGGTGTAGGGCTTTTTTCACAGGTATAGGAAGTTGCCTTTCCCAAAATTTGGGAAAAAATAACAGTATTTTTGCAAAAGAGGAAGAAAACACTAGTAGGTAAAATTGTGCGGTATATATCTGACAAAATGTTATTATATTAGAATAATAAGAATAAATAGTGGTCAAGTTGTTCCCCTTTTGATATCATGGTAAAAATGTGAGTACCTTAAATGCAATTTGTTTGTATTATAGAACCTGATAGTCTTAAAATACTGCCAGAAATGCTGCTTCCTCTTGCAATTTCCCTTTAATATCTTTGATAAATTCTTTACTATCATCATTTAATTTTTTATTGTGTCTAAGTCATTAGTTATTTATGACAAGGCAGCAGTAGATGTTTAAAATCTATAGATATGAAACTTCATAATTTATGTCATTCTATGTCATGCCATCAGTTTAAGACCAACAATGAAAATAACAGATTAGTACTTTCTATAGTTTGTTGTAAAATTTAATATCATATTTATTATATTTGTTACAACATTACATAACATGCACTAATTGATACCAAAATAAGTCAATCTGTCTTTACTCTTATTTACGATGTTATCATCATTTAGTATTTTTCCACATTATTTCAGCCTCCGAAGAACTACAGAATCTACCGTTTTACACCGGATCCCTGCCAGATATGAGGAGAGCTCTAAAACAAAAGTTTGTATTGTTTAAAACTTTTAATATGATGTTTAATTGAGGTCACTTTGAAGTATGCAGTCTTGGCTTACAATGGCAAAACTAACTTGCATTTGTGGAGACATGGTAACCTCTGCATACTAATAAGCAACAAAATATAAATGTAAATCTGTACTTTTTATCTATTAAGCCCTGGTAGTTTCAAGCTAAAGTAACTATTACATTTGTTTCATTATTTATATACATTGTATATTATTAAGGTGTGCTCCCTTTTGGTTGCATTTTGTTTTCTAATCGAAAGGTTCTTCCCCAGAATTTTTCTTTCACTGATGTTTGATACTACAATAACTTATTTCTGCTGATTTAGATTATGAAAGTAGCATATTTACGGGAAAAGGTAATATAGGGGAGATAGTCTGTCCAAATTAAAAGCAACCTGATCAACAGAAGTAGAACATTGTTGTGTCCACCATACTAACATTTTGAGTAATTGAATCATGGTTCAGACTGTGTTGGCTCTAAAATTTAATAGGAGTTAATTAACCTTTTATTGCACTAAGGTGACAAAATATGGTAACTCTTCAACACTCATATAATTATGTTTCTTCTTAAATATGTGTAGGCATATAAATAAAAAAAGGAAATAGCAGTCTTATGGCCAGTTATTGTCTGTTGTTTTTTTTTGCTAATTTTACACTAGAATGATGATTAATGTGTGAGAACTGTTTTTGTTTTGTTTTTTTCTAACAAGGTGTACAAAAAGATGTTCCAAGTAAATTTTTTGTTATCTCATTTGTTATGAAATCTGATATCTCATAAGTCTGCTTGATGTTACTGACCAGTATTGGTGTCATATTAGGAAACACATGTTGCCTTGTATCCCTCAGTTGAAACTAAGAAATTCATTATCAGTTCTATAAGCTTTAATTAGTAATATTACATAGTATATGTTGTTATATTCAGGTTTCAAGGAATGAAAGTAAGTGTACAGTCCCCAAAAAGAAGATCTGAAGAGCCTAGTAGTGTACCTGCTGATGCCTTAAATCAGAATATAACGGTGATTGTTACAGGTATGGATTTATCCATTCTTTAAAATAAGCATTTTCAAAAGATTATTTGCCATGTCAACTTGGTTCTTACCTTGAATAACATACAATCAATTATCTTTTGATAACTGAACAACAATTGGAAATCATTATTTAGAGTGAGCACAATGGTTAAGTGGTTATCAGTACTATATAGATTAATAATCTATTAGATGAGTCTGTAAGCAAGGTCCTGTTTGCTTTGCCCATTTCTGGCAAAAGAATCGGTGCTTTCATCTGGAACGTAGAAAAATTTACCTCCAAAAATAAAATGACTGGCACTATTCTTGATAAACTGCCCATATGGGTTTTCCAATGTCCATTAAATGTCCATCCCTGACATTTTAATTCAAATCTTTGTATTAAATATTGAAGACAATATCTCTTATAAATGTTTTTGTTTCTATCACAGTGTTTCATTTTGGGTAGTTGACAGAATTTTGTAGCACTGTGGTTTGAAAACTGTCCTAAATTGATGAGATATTCAACATTGCTTATTTTATGGCCTACCTCGACAACTAAAGCATGAAATATGCTGTATAACCGTCACAGTGTTGGTGCAACTTAAAATCAAACTCAGCTTAGGTAGTTGAGTTAAAATCAAACAAAACTACTAACAGACTTGTCCTGTTTTAAATTTTGAATCTTTTTAGTCCCCTACCGGTTTACCGGAGGGGACTTTAGGTTTACTGTCCGTCCGTCAGTCCACAAAACTGGATCCCGCGATAACGCAAAAAGTACTGAAAATATTTTAATGAAACTTGATATATGGATAGATGGCAGTATGGAGATTATGCACATCTTTTTCTTTTCTTCCTATGTTGAAAATTCTGGTTGCTATGGCAACAAATAGACTGAAAATATGGCAAATTTTACACATAACCTGGATCCAGTGATAACACAAAAAGTACTGAAAATATGTTTATGAAACTTGACATATGGGTAGATGGCAGTATGGAAATTATGCACATCCTTTTTTATCTTCCTATGTTGAAAATTCTGGTTGCTATGGCAACAAATAGACTGAATTTCAAGATTTCTGATTCTAGTTTTTTCACTATAAGTTCTTTATTTCTTAAGGTATTTTCTTCAAACTTAAATATAAGTTGCTTGTCATCAACCACATCATATGTGACAAGGTTTACAACTCTAGCACAAAATTTATCAGAATTACCTCCCTTGAACTTAAAATTTTCATGAAAAAAACATTGTTTTTTTTAATAACTTCTTTTTCTGAATGTATCTACTTCAAACTTCATATAAATGTTTCTTATTGTCACTCAACATTTGTGAGTGTTCAATACTCTAGCAAGACTATTTCCAGAATTATGCCCCTTTTGAACTTAGACTTTTTTTTGAGAAATTGGTAATTTTTACTCCAACTTCTTCAATCATGATAGGATTTTAAAAATGTTATATTTTGATAACAGGGATGTTTAAAAAATAACTTTAGAGTGTCCTTCAGTCCGTCTGTCTGTACATAAAAACTGTTTCCTGTGATCACTTTTAAAGAACTTTTTCAACAAATTTACTTAAAATAGGAACCTAAGTGAATGGCCAATGGCCCTTCAGAATGTTGCTTGGGCTCTTACCGGTAGGGGACTTATGGATTGCTTGTAATACTATGATAATTGCTTGTTATTTTGAGTTTTAGAGGTTTACAACATCATATACAAAATTTTAGTTGCCAACAGTATTGTAGAGTCTTGTTTCCACTTTTTTGCTGCTAGCACTCAAAACTAACGAACAATTTTATTCCAGATCAAGACCAGACAAAGCTTATTACAGTAGATGAAACAAATGATCCTAATAAAGTACGGACAGAACTGGATCCATGTTCACCTTTCCATGGCAGAAATAAGAAAACAACTGCAACAATAATACCATCTTCTCAACCTAAACCTGTAAGTTTGGATCATTCTGCTTCACAAATATCAAATAAGGGTAACAGTTAGTATTAAATGAGGGGAACAATTAATATTAGATAAGGGGAAAATTTTTTTATCTTATAAGGTGAACAATAAGTATTTTATGAGGGGAACAATAAGGAGTGAAATATTTTCAGTTTTGTTTTCAATATATTATATAAGCTCCACTGAGGCCCAAATGACAAAGATCAACTTGGTTACTTAAAATGAAACAATATGCAAATGATGATAAATAAATCTACTCAGAATCAAATTGTAAATCAATAAATATTTGTGCAATTTTTAGCCTAAGTTAAAGGCACATTATGCTTCAGAAATGAACTTTTTTCCCCCTACACATGAATTTTATAATGTTTTATTAAAAAACGGTTTTAGAGCATAATAGATGTTTAAGGCTTGAAGAAAGTAGCGCTGAATTTGAAATCTTTGTCATAAAGTAGCAAATATTAGTAGTAATAAAGTAGTATTTTGACTTCCATACAAAATATCAAATCACTTTAAATGTACTAATTGCCAAAACGCAACAGGATCAAAGGATGGCTCCGGGAATTCGAGTCAAATTGGCCAATGCAAAACTTTTTGGAATTTATAACAGGACACCATAGATAAAAAGCTTTAAAATGAAAAAGAAATCATTTCTGAAGTATTATGGACCTTTAAGTTTTAAAACAATAAAATGCTTATTTGTGTGTCATTTATCACAATAAAGATGAGTATTCTGGAAAAACAAAGTGAGTTAAATATATTTTGTTGCAAATGTTAACAATATTTCCAGTTGCCATGGCAAAAAACTTCAGTAGAGTAACTTTTTATAATTTATGTACTGTATAATGATAGGTGCTTCTTTAAGATTTGCTGACAGGTTACTAAAAGATTGTTTAATGTTGATCAAGGTGTTATTATTGTACATCCAAATGTATTGTATATTTCTGTTGGAATAAGCTACATTTCAAGAACTCCTATGTTAATTTTTATTCTTTCATTTCCAGGTTATCACATTTACCAAGTCTTCATTAGCAAGCTCAAGCCAAGACACACTAGCTATGATGAATTTAAGCAACCCTGTGATAAACAATGTCACTAATCAACCACCTGTCACACTCATTTTGGATGCTCAGAGTCAAAGTTCAGCTGCTAAGGTGTCTAAAAATGCATCACAGAGTAGATTGGATGATTTAGTGGCACTGGTTAAATCTAGAAGCAACAGTAAACATGCTACAGTGCAAGAATGTGTTACTACATCAGCTGAAGTTCCTGTGACAAATGTTTGTCCCAGACCTGTCTATTACGCGGGATCAGATATGAACTATTCATTATTATGGGGACAAAGAGAGCAGCCCTTTTCACAAAACTGTAAACAAAATACAAACCCTATCTCTCAAGCTAGATTGCAAACTCCTCTGGTACCATTATTATATCAGCCTTATACATACCCAGTACAAGGAAGTGCAAGTTACCAATCCTGCTTGGCTGGGTATGCAGCAAATTCTTTGTTACCATGGACACCATTGACCTATTTTCAAGGTTATACCCCTAATCCTCATTACCCAACTGCACCTCTTCATTTTGGTCAGCTATCATCCACATCAGGTATTGATGCTACACTCGATTTGTCCTTGAAGAAAAAACCTGAATCTCAAACTCAATCAAGGCACAGTGACAATAATGGGAATAGCAATGAAAATAATAAGAAAAAAACAAGTCAAAAAAGAAGTGCTTCAGTATCAACTGTCCCAAATGAAAATGAAATCCTACAGCCAAAACAGAAGGTAAGAAAAACGTCGACTGAAACACCAGAAAGAAGTATGTCACCTTATATAAAGGAAACGGCAAAATGCCAACCAGCTTTGAACAAAACAGCGTCATACCTGAGCTCAGGAGATGATCGCAAGAGTATAGATGAGAGGCCAAACAGTCTTAAAGCATTGCAAGAATTAACTTTAAGAATAGATGGAAATATGGAAATATGGGAGTCAGTTCAACACAAAGTCAAAATCTCCTGTCTTCAAGGAGGTTCTTGTCAACTGGAAGTATAACAGACACTTTGAAACAAGCTCATGTGAGCTTTAAACAGAAAGTAAATGAAAAAGTTTTATCGAAGAATTTAGATATTATACGTAGCACTGCAGTCTTAAAACACTATGCTGGTTCTAGTTCACAGAAATCAGCATTGCCTGGTAACAATTCTGCCTCAAATATGACGACATTGATACGTCCAGCAAATGTATCAAATATTAAACTGCTTCAACCTAATACAGGTATAGGTATATCTACTGTAGAAACTGATCAAGGTATTGACACTTCATACCCAAATAAACAGGTAACTGCTGTGAGAGATGAAGACATAGTACAACTGCATGGTGAACCAAAAGTTTCCCATAGTGCATACTATACAGAACAAGTTTCAAATTTTAAAAATAAGAAAGCTTTAGAAAGTGAACCTTCTCTTTCATTGTCCAATAACCAACAAAAAAGGCCAGTCTGTATGCGATCTTTTCCCTACAGTCAGCATATACAGTTACCTGATGGAAATATCTCAACACTTGATTTTCCTGCCCTTCTATCACTGAGCTCTACAAATTCTGTTAAATCTTCATCACAGTTTGATAAATCTGATGTCAAGGGTGAGAGCGTTTTTTACTATACAGAAGACTCAAGTGCAGATGTCTCTGATACATCCATATTTAGAAATAGGCCTAATGAAACATTGACAAGTGAAAATGGCAAAGATTATGCCAGTAAATATTCCTTATATTTGAAGAAAAGTGATATATCAAGTGAAACAGAGGGGAATATACAACCCAAGTCAGTTACTCTATCAAATAAAGGACAGCAAAATGTAGCAGAAAATGAAACCTCTAAAAGTAAGGAGACTTGCCTGATAATTGAAACAACATCAGAAAATGGGACAGAACAGGTTGAATTTAAATTAGATAAGAAAAGAAGCGCTAACCTATTAGGAGAACTGCTCAAGTTTAAACCGTTATCACACACTGATCATGAAAGAATTGATTCCAACAGCATAGATTCTCAATCCACTAGATTATTGTCAAGTGATGGCCAGAAAAATTCTTACCAAAGAGTGTCAGAGCTGAACAATCAGACTGAAAGAAAGAATGATGTTTACAAGTCAATAGACAGTTACCAATCAGTACCTGGGAATATCGATAGTGTTACAAACAGTGAAACAGAGTCATCATTTTCCTCGCTAAATGTTTCGCCATACCTTTTTGGCATGTTGCCAGATACTACAACATTGATTGATGATGATGAGAAGAATGATGGTATCAGTAATGATAATGATGATTTTACTGATTGTGATGATGGAGATGATGATGTGTTCCTTCATCCAATTTTCTGACATGATATGTTGAATAACACAATGAGATATGTTGAATAACAGCATGAGATGTTTTGTTGAGTGCCATCATCACTTTTTTGTAATAAAAAGTATTTGTTTATTGATCCCTTTCATGGAAATTATAAGAAAGTATTTAACTTTTTTTTTCATTAATGTTGTACAAAATTGTTTTATTATATTTTCTAGCGTTTTTTTAACACACCTGTCACAAAGTGACAAGATAAGCTTTTGTGATCACAATTTGTCCGGCTTCTGTCCGTCTAGCGTCTCTCCGTAAACTTTTACTCCAAACGACATCTCATAAACTGCCATGCCAATTTCATCCAAACTTCACAGGAATGTTTCTTTGGGGTCACCTTTAAAAATTGTTTAAAGAATTTAATTTCATATAGAATCTGGTTGCCATTGCAACTGAAAGAAAAAACTTTAAAAAATCTTCTTATGAACCATCTTCAAGTGAGTATCTACCAAGTTTGTTTAAATAAAAGCCCTGGGGTCAAATTGACACCACCCCAAGGGGTCATTGATTTTCTTATATGTACAAAATGTATATAGTAAAAACTTTAAAAAAAATCTTCTTTTAAAATCCCAAAGAGCTAGAGCTTAGATATTAAGCATGAAACATCTTCTAGTGAGTGTCTACCATGTTTGTTCAAATAAAAGCCCTGGGGCCAAAATTTGCCTCGTCCAAGGGGGTTATTAATTTTCCTTACATGTATACAGTAAAAATTTTTTTTAAAATCTTCTTTTCAAAAACCAAAAGAGCTAAAGTTTAGATATTTATGCATAAAAAATCTTCTAATGTGTGTCTACCAAGTTTGTTCAAATAAAAGCCCTGGGTTCAAAATTGGCCCTGTCCAAGGGAGTTATTAATTTTCCTTACATGTATAGAGTGAAAACTAATCAAATATGTACACATCTTTTGGAACTGTTGTTTTCCCTAAGTGAAAGCAACCAGTAATGTTTTTACACATGCACTATTTCAGATACAATTATGAACTTTGTGATACCAGTTTAAGATTTAGGTTTCTTCTTTTGTTTATAGTCTACAATATTACTTTTTCCTTGTCATGGAAAGTTTTTATATTCAGGTTAGCGTTTTTCAGGACCATCATGGCCCCTTTTGTTTAAAGTTTTAAATGCTTATCTTCTTCACTGTCATATTAATAGAGGATATTGAATGAGTGTAAGTTCAATACTGAATTTATTGAACGAGTTGAATAAAATTATATTATGCGAGCCTCTGGCGAGCATAATATTATTTTATTCCACGAGTTCAATAAATTTAGTAGTGAACTTACACAAATTTAATATTCTATTTATCACATACCCAAAATAAAGACCGTTTAAAGTGAAAAAAGTCGTGTTTCATTGACAGGCCTATAGTATAACACTAACATTTAAGGCGTCTTTACACTATGTTTGTATAACGCTAATGACGTCGAGTCAAAATATATGCACGGCCTTGCAATACCATTTTTACAGAGTTGCAAAATCGGCACGGGTGTGTGATAAAGTTGAATTAGTAATACTAGTATACATGTATTTCAAAATGATTCACTATTAGAATTGTGATGAACAAATAATTTATTGTGCAATATAAAATGACCATAATTATAATTATTCATCTGCCTGCCCTGCTCTTTCTAAGAATTACAGATACTTTCTAAAATATATTTATAGAAATTTTCAGTTTGCCACATGGATTATTGATTATTTTTTCAAGTAAAGTATAAAATTGTACACAATGTGTGCAGAATGTCAAGTAATTTTTTTTTTTGACATGCACACTGCCCATTTAGACTTTGATGAGCATAATGTCACTTTTAACTACATGTATATCATATCTGTAATGATAGATTATAAAAACTTAAGATTCTTTTGTTAAAGCAATTATGCATGTATTTATTGACATAGTGCTAGGAGATGGCCTTTTGTGATAACAAATTGTCTGTAGTTTATTTCATTAACTACACAGCCCAGAGCTTAGATAATAGATATTTCTTTTATTTTGCATGTATAATTATCCTTGTGGTTCTTGACAAGTCGTAAGAAATGTCCCCAGGGTCAAAATTGGCCCATCATATGGGTCACTTAGTTAAAATAGCCTTGTATTTAATATTCTTGTTTAAAACTGTAGTGCCCAGAGTTCAGATGTTTGGCATGTAGCATTGCCTAATGAACTGCATGCTTTAAAACAGTCCATGCAGAAGCTACAATGCTGGTAACTAGAATATTTGGTATGCAGCTAAACCTTTTTGTTCTATTCCTATAAATCACACCCCAAGGGGTTAAAATTAGATCTGCCCTAGAGCTTACTTAGAAGAAAACATTTAAATCTCTTGTGAACATAGACCTAATATTTTGTATGATCAAAAATGACCCAGGCAGATATTGACTAGTAAAGGAAACTTTAAACGTCTTCCTCTCAGAAATTAAATTGCCCAGAGCTATGATATCTGGTATGTACCATTACATTAAGTTCCTCCTTCTGTAAAACTTGACTTTACTATGTCACACTTACTTTGCAAAGACTTGTATATTAAAAGTTATTTAAAATATCTGGTGACTGATTGTGTGATAAGTAGAAGTTCAAATTCTAAATGTGAAATATACTTTAGGTATTTTATGCTTTTCTTTTGAATTAAAATCACAAATGCTATAAGTTAGTGAATCTTCTCGATATTCTGAGGTACAATTTGATATATGATATTGAACTTTGATATTTGATAATGAAAAGTGATTTACTTTTTGAATATTTATCTAAAGTTCACATACAAGAAACTTTATTTTAAGTCAGTTTACTTATTACAAGAAACATTAGCTAATAAGCTATTTGCCGACAATAACAGAGACATAAAACATATTTACTAACATATAACAGATCTGAAAAGTAAAAACATTTAAAACAAGTAGCAGATTTAGGCATGAAATAAAAGTAGCAAGATTGAGAACTATACAATAAGATGACAAATTAAAGCAAAGTATATTGACATGCACAGTGCATATTGTATTAAAGGGACTAACAGTTTAAAAGTAATAAACAAATTATTATAGTATAGAATGAGCTGACAATCTGAGTATGATGCATGTAGCAATATGAAATGAATAATTAATTATGAGAGTGTTATCACTGTGACTGATATCAAACTTAAACATTGATTGACTAAATGAGTTGTAACCAAATGATCTGCTTTTGCTGCTCCGAAGAAAATTCTGAACATGTCTACAATGGATTTCAGGTGAGCAATCTAGGCCCTTTTCGGCTCTCTTGTGTAATGTCCAAAGTAACGTGGATAATCAATGTACATGTGGATAATCAATGTACATAGTGCGTTAATAAATGTTCAACTGAAATGGTTTCAATTTTGTGTATGAATTCCTTCTTAAATCGTTTTTATATGTAACTAAAGGACAGGTTTATAATTTTCCTGTCCGCTTGACTTTCACAAGTGATGTCACAAGATATTATTAGTCTGTCACGACAACAGTATAGAACACTATTTAAACGTTTATTGAAAGTGTAGTCTTCCACATCATGATGGTGGTAGTTTACACTCCGAATCACGACAGTAAGCAACATTAAATTTACCAAAACACAGTTCAGCCTCAGCAGACAGTCGAACGGTTTACCAGTACTAGTTGCCTGCCTTCACTTTCTTTAGGGTCTGTTTTATACTACTGTTCATCGGATATATCAATGACCGTAGAAAGGATTTCATGAACAAACGACGAAAGTGACCTACACCGTCCGGGAATCGAACTCGGGTCGCCGGATTTTATGAGGGTCCATCGGCCCTTTCAGGCACTGAGAGTACTGACCTCGGATATGTCACCCATTCATGGCCATAAATGTTATTATCAACCAAAAGGTGACCATATAAAGTTTGAACTGAATAATACTTGATATGTATCAGGGTCTTTCAAATATTTGAAAGACCCTGTATGCATGCAAGTCGATTTTTGTGGTGGTACTAATTTACGCTAACCGGGCGGTATCTATTTGATCTTTTTATAAGAGCAGAATGTACAGAATAAACCTTACTGGCGTGCGATGTTTCATCAAAATGTGGCTTCTGTTTTTTCTTCAATATACTTGAATACAGACAGGAACAACAGTTTTAGTTTTCAGTTTATTCCGTAGAAAATCTTATCAGCAAACATCTATTGCAATGACTGTTCTGCTAAATATTGACCATGTATTTTCTATTTAAACAATAGAGTGAAAATAAAGTTGCACCATTTTTCAAGTTTGGTGGATGGTTTTCTCAATAAGTATGATTTTATTTGTTTGAATGTTTAACATATGTCCAAACGTTTTCTATATAGTGTAAAGTTGTAAGTTCACACCGTCACATTCCTTAAATACTTGTATAGTGCACTATGTCGATTCATTTATTAACATTCCGGACAGCTGTTGGTAATATGATATATCTGATTCTAATATTGTGTAAAAGAAAAACTAAACAAGTCCTCTGAAAGGCATGTTAGTAGACCATTAGTGTAAAGGAATACAAAATATGACAGAAGTGTCATCAATAAACTGACCGTGATTCTGTGAAGCAATTCTATTCTTTTCTGCATTTCTATTATTATATTGAGACATGGGTAATTGATTTATTGTATCCAGAATGAAATTTTATATGATTATTAAAAATTCGGAGAGAATGCAATATAGTTCCATGGTGTTATGAGGTGATATGTGTATTCTTCCTCGCCATTCCAAATGTTGCGAATAAAGGTTTTAAGTATTCTTGAGTTAACGCTTGAGTAGAGCAGAGTGCTTCTTAGTAACATATACATCTATGACTCAATGATAAGACAAAACCCTTCATATTCATTTAAATCTTTAAATCATATCTTCTATGTTGTTCTTAATAAAGTCTAAGTCTGATGATATGACGCAAAAAAAATGACGTAGCTTAATTTGATGGATGTTTAAAAAGTATATGAAGAGTAATGATTTATGACGTTTTTTGACGTCAAAGACGCTGCGTTTATGATGTCACTTAACTACAACGTTTATTCAGGAGTAGAATGGAAATGGACATGATAGAAAGGTTTAGTTTAAAAAGGTAACTATAAATTAATTTCACAGCAAAAATAAAAGAAAAAGAATTGTAGATTTTGATATCGTAGCTTTAATTGAACTTTGGTCTTTATTCCAATACAACTTCTTAATAATGAAAAAGAATCTGCATGATCTACTTAATTGAGGTTGTTTTTCACTGTGCTCAATTTTATTCTTAGATAAAAGGCGATATGTATTTCAAGGTTGGCCTAGTTGCACTTGACAAAAGAAATATAGCCCTAATTTATATATTTTTCTTCATTTTGTAAGTTGTTGTAAACATTTTTATACATATTTGACAGCGCAATATCAATACTCCTTGGGTAAAAGCCGCTATCGGGACCTATAATTAATTAAGGTGACTCGGTCCATTAAGATTATATTTCTTTGATTTTTATTCTGTTATTATTTATTAATGTCAATATATTATCTTATGCTTCTATCAAAATGCATTGTATCCTTTTGATTTTTAAGATTTTCCGGGGCGGATAACTTTTATAATATTTAGTTGGAGTCAGCGCGGACTCGCGGGGATCAAACTCGCAATTCTTAAACTGTTATCATACCATGTTACCACTAGAGTATTGCTCTACTTGTCGCAACCATGTTCACATATGCTACATTTGTTACCATGGTGAATCCTTATTATTTCCTGAATTAACATACACAAATCTTGTATACCCTTTTTCAGGTAAAAACGTATGTCTAAGATAAAACTAAATAATAAAGCGTCAACAAAAAGTCTTGTAAGGACACATTCAACCGCCGAATCAAAGGTTATCTCCAGGAAGGGGTCAAGAGTCATCACCAAGAAGGAATCTAAGCATGTAACGGTTGCTAAGCAACTATCCAGGACACGCAGTCTGCAGCGTCGGCCGTCGCTGCCTGTGCAGAAACCGATCGGAAATGCTGTAAGTTTTAATTAGTTAAAGAGCCTATCCTTCATCATATGAAGATTATATAGTTTGATATTAGAGATTTTCTGTCCATTTCTTCGCACTGTATTGCATTGTATCATATTGCATAACAATTTATTGTGTCGCATCGTATTTTATCGAATCGTATAATTCGTATGGCCGAATCGTACCATATTGTGAAATATCATTGTATTGCATTGAATTGCATTGCAGTGCACTACGTCTAGTTGTGTGTTGTTTAAGCCTGTAAAGCTTTAAAATGTTTCTAGATTTTCCTCTGTAACTAAAAAGGTCTCAAAACTTAATTTCGAGACAAAACCGAATTAACGTGAATGCTAAACAGGTTGAACAATTCATCGTTAGATACTTCTAATGTACTGAATTAGTAACTTGCTTGAATAGAAGAAATATTTCGTTAAAAGTAGCTGTATTTAGCACGAGTTTTAGAATGAGTCTGTTAAACAGACGTAATTTATATACATGTACATTCTACATGTGAAACTGTTTCACCTTCGTAAGGTAGTTTGAAATTAACTCTCTTTTTTCCATTTATCTGAGCGTGCATCTTAGATGACATGTAATTAATTCAAATGTTATTTTCATTCTAATTTTAAAATAGCCTTCCAGATATAAGATACATATAGATAAGATATATAATCATAATTGTATTGTCATGTAGAATCGTATCTCTTTCTATATTATGATACTTTTTAGAAAAACAGTTGTGAATTACTCTAGTGCATTACTAAAGCCCCTTTCAGAATTTGAAAGAGTTTGTCAGCTAAACAGCTAAAATGTCATTTTTCTTTAAATAAAATAATTGTACGACGTTGTTACCTTGTTATTCAGTACGTAGATACAATGTTTTCTGTAATAAATGAATGGGGAAAATGCCTATGAAAATTAAGAGGAATGTTTGAAATTGGAAAACATAAATTCAATTATTTCCAGATCAGATTACAAAAATGACGGACTGTGATTGAACTCCATTTTCAGGGAGCAAGGGCAATGTAAAAAGATTAGTCATTTGATTGTACCATGTTGATAAAATGATATTATTGGAAAATGCAGCAATTTGCAGAATAGCTGAGAATTTTGATTACTGCATTAAATAACAACCATTTTACGTTCCTTTAGAATTTGACCTGTGTCACATTATTATGAATCAAATTCTCACGAGAATGTTTTACATAAAGTGCACTTATAAAAATAAACATATGGTACACGACGACTGACAATGTGCATGTTTATATCACGTTAGCAAATATGTCATATATCTGTTATATATTGTATATTAAATTAGATAATAATTGGATATTATACATAATTTGTATAATTGTGTGTTAAATTATCTTGCTGTCAACATTGGATGTCATGTTATCACTTACATACCCGGCTGACGGCTGGCTATGATAGACATGTTATATCCCACGGCCAATAACGGTGATAAACCATGTAACTTTACCAATATAAAATGTTAATAAAATTGTAATTAAAACGAAAGATAAAAGAGAATTTAAAAGCAAGCCACATATCTTATATCATTAAATCATATTTATTTCTTTTGTTGTCTTCAAAGATAAACGATAGATGAAATAAATAAATAAATAAATAAATAAATAAATAAATAAATAAATAAATAAATAAATAAATAAATAAATAAATAAATAAATAAATAAATAAATAAAAAAAAAAAAATAAATAAACTGCAATTTAGAAGTTTCTTTCATATGCAGAGCTAATTCTTGTTAGACCTTGTGCAAAAATGTACTAAGTTATAGACTCTAGACATTGAAATAAAATGCATTGCTGTAATATTATGAAACCACTGCATGAAAAATCTGATGATAGAGTTTTTTTCCCTGTATGAGATAATTTTTTACATCTTTCAATGTTAAGCCGAAGATAATAAGAACAAAAAAGGTCATCTTAAACTTGGTTTAAAAAATACTCGTTTAATCTAAAAACATGCCCTGCTCTGTACTGTGGTCCTTGATAAGCCAGGGTGATACATGTATAAATAATTGATAAAATAAAACAAACGAGATTAACACCTATATTGTATACCAATAAACATTCGCGAATCAGGTAGAATAAATTATTCATCAGTGAGAGAAAAAAAGCGATACATCATAACAAAACGTCAATCTGTTCGATAGAGGGCGCATGGCCTTCAATTACACTGGTCATCAGGAAGAAGACCCTCTGGTCTTTTCGAGCAAAGACCGGCGGTGATGTTCATATAGATTGTTTTCTACTGGATAAAGTTGATATGAGTTAACATTTGTTGTGAAAATATCGTTCGAAAGCTAGATTATAATTAAGTTGACATTTTCCGGATTATTTTGTGAAAACATGGATTATTTAAAAAGAAATTCACTTTTCCGCTCGATGTCAATGTCTATGAAGGACAAGGGTCATAATCAGGAAGGACATGTCAGTAGGCTTCCAAAGGATTCCAAGAAACCGGTTAGTTCCTCGCTGGATAACATGGTACTGGACATGTCACGTAACACACTAGAGGAATTGTTCCCCGGAGGAAATGGCTCCTTCAGTCGGACAGAGGGAATGCAGTGTTTGATCATTCCTGACAAAGTTCTCCTTACTGAGATTGTACGTCATCAAAGGTCATTTTCGTTAAACTATGGGTGCGATCATTGTAATCATGAACCAGTAAAGCCAAATGACAGAAAACTGCCACTTTCCCGGAGCTCAAGTCTGAAAACACCAACCAGAAAAAGTCTGGCAAATGCAGTCGTATCTTCATCAAAGACACAACCAAGAGACACTAAAAAAATACCACGCTCACAAACAATCCACTCATTTAGCCCCGAAGAAAGAAAAGACGAATCTGAAGTCCAGTTGAGAAGATGTCTGTCTTTGTATGAAAGAAAAAGAACCCCGCATACATGTTGCCACAACGACCAACCAGAACGTAATTCGAAACCTAAATCAAATGGGAATAATCCGAGCCTAAGAGAAAGAAAATTATCTAAGGAAACCTCAACTCGAACCCGTACTTCTAGTAGCGTTTCACTCGATTCTGTCGGTGTAAGTAATGGACGCGGAAGTAGTATGAGCGTGACATCAAAAACTTCCTCCGATTATGATTCTGAGAATTCTTCACACAAAGCGAAGGCTGCAAACAAAAGCAAATGTAAAGAAGTAGAAACATTGAAATCGGCTCGACCGAGTCAAATTCCACGACCGGTAACTCCTGGCAGGGAGCTGGCTAAAAGACCCAGAAGTTTCACTGTAAGTGGAACAAATGTCGCAGATATGGAATCATCAGATTACAAAAGAAATTACCCTAAAGGTTTAAAGAAATCTCAGTCGTTCAGAGAGAAAACAAAATCTGGACTTTACAGGTCTGCGCCATCTTCTGCTGTTCAGACTCCTACAAATGCTTGGCGCGAAAATGTAGCTTCTTCTCAGCACACACGTGACCTTTCTGATTATCTAAAGAGTCTTGATGTTGATGCTATGAAATTGCCGGAAAGGAAGAAAGCGGTATGAATTATTTTATAGAAAATAAACCATGTTTATAAAATACAAACTTTTACAGATTATAACGAGTTATGATCGGGAATTCGAGTAAGCTTTGCTTGAAAACTCGAGTAAATTTACGGGTTCTTGGTTTGCTTATAAACTCGAGTTAGTTTACGGTTTCTTGGATTGTTTGAAAACTCCAGTAAGTTTACGGTGTCTTTGTTTGCTTGAAAACTCGAGTAAATTTACGGGTTCTTGGTTTGTTTGAAAACTCGAGAAAGTTTACGGTTTTTTTTTTTTTTTTTTTTTTTTTTGAAAACTCGAGTAAGTGGACGGTTTCTTGGTTTGCTTGAAAACTCGAATTAATTTATGGTTATCTTGGTTTGTTTGAAAAACTTCCCTAAGATTACGAGTATTTTATTTACAAACTCGAGTTGTATCATGCACTGTACTAATGATTCATGCAGATGCAAACACTCTAGGATGTACATTTTTGATAGTTGAACAGTTAAAGATTACTTTTAGTCAAGATTTGATAAATACACGATAAACTACCTGTTATCAAGTCTTTGTCTGATAATTTAACTTGACGAAAATATTTACAATTGATAATGTCATCCTGGCTTCAGCATGACACAATCATATAGCTATGATAATACTTTAAACAGATAAAATTTATAACAGAAAATCCACACAAATATATTCTAAATATAAGCCTATTTGTCTAAATCAACATTTTTTTTGGGAAACAGATCACAATAATAAAATGGTGTGAGATATCAAGGAAACCTTAAACGCTTCGTGATACTTCAAAGTAAAAACCGTTTTAATCTACGTTTTATATATTATTGCCTGAAAAAACGAAATCCTCGTACCCAAATGATATACGTGGTTCGAGGGAAACGTGGTTCGAGGGAAACCACAAGTACTAATTACATTTTCAGAATAAAAAATGTGATTTTGAGATTGAAATGTCTTTATTACAATGAAATATTTTTCAATATTTTCAATCAACAAGTTATTGATGTATTATTTTTTTAGAAAGTTATTATTATATGTTTTTTCGTAATTTTTATTGACCACTACAAGTATAATGTTATTATTATTATAATTATTATTAAAGCCATACCAGCAAGGATGGAGTTAAAATCGTGTATAACACATCAATTTCCAGCTCAGATTTTTTATATCACTGATATAGTTTACGGACCTTTTAAAAAATACACACTCGATTCTTTAAGCTTACGAAATGTTGAAATTCATGGCTATGTTTCAAACCGATATTAATTAATGAATGGGTACTCGGTCTACAACAAAAACGGGTATTATATACACGTTGAGCAACAAACAAATAATTTCAAGGGAGACAACCTTATCTCAGTAGCTAGAAAATGCGTCAGTAAAATAGAATTGTGAGTTGAAATAATATGGCATTTGTTCAAAAAAATAAAGTTTTCTTACAGGTTTGCAAGGCTATAATATTATCTTTGTTTTCATGTTGTATTCATTACATCTTATCATTGAACATCTCCAAAATAATCTTGTGACGTGTTTTTTCTTTGTTTTAATTCTTCTTAATTTGTTTTCTTTTTTTTTGTATTTATGTCATGCAAATGTTTGGTAACTCGTTTTTTTCCCCATTCATGTTAAGTGTATATAGAAAAGATCAAACACTTTATACATGTTATCTTATTTCTGAAACAAGGAACGCCAGTTGTTTGACTTCCAAGCTTAGTAAGCCTAAAATGACTGACTTATATCACTACTATTCGTTTTGTCATTCTGCGTACAGGTTCCCGATGAAGAAGACGGTTACCCTGTTCCACAACCACCAAGCAAAACACGGGCTGATATATATAACCCCAAAGATTTTGTGCATATAGACCAGAAGGTAGCGGAGGTAAAGTATTTAATCACCAATAATTAAAGAATAAGTACGGAAAATAGAAAATTATCTGTGAAATGATTTTTTTTTTCGGAAACGCTTAACGATATTCGCTCTGTTTTCTGAGGGCATCATCGATTTGCTTATATTCATACTTCTCTTTGAATTATTTACCGCTCTTACTTTACTTTTATTACCGTTCAAAATGTTCAAAGCATAAAAAGCGTCGACATATAGTGTTAAAAGAATGCTCCACAATTATCATTTAATAAATTTAATACTGGAATATTAAAACGTAATCAACTTTGTATATTATGTCTAGGTTACCAACGTGTCACTGCTAAATAGTTTTGACGAGCTGTTAAGAATTTTGTTGGAAGACCTTTCCACTGACATTGCCAAAGTTCGAGCTTTATACTGCTGGCTGGTAACTCAACAAATACCACTGAGTGTACTTCCGGCGTACCGGAGCTTGCACACACCACGTGGATTTCTCTTCAATATCGGACAAAACAAAGCAACCTATGCTGAATTGTTTGCTAAGTTATGCAGGTAATGTCATGCATCATCAGTCATTTGCAGCCCTCCGCGCCCATTTAAGGATAATGGCGACCGGTTAGAATATGCTGCTATTTTTTTTGGCACAAAAGCAAAATTGTCATATTCCCTCGACAACAAGACAAATAATTTTCAGTATTTACTTAAATAAGTAAAATTATTTCTTGTCATTCAGCCATATATCAATTAATACAATGTTACATTTTGAAGATGCAATATACTGATTATGTGTTAAGATGATGGCTAGTGCATGTGTAAAGGAAAATACAGTACCTGTACTTGATACATGTAATATGAAAATAAGGTTCAATAGTTTATTTAGACTTTGTATATAGTACTATATATTCTAACAAATCTTCCTTTACAGAAAAGCTGATATAATGTGCACTGTAATACATGGGATAGGAAAGGGTGTAAATTATAAAGCTGGTGATAAAGTAACTCACAAAAAATGTAAAAACTCCTGGAATGCAGTATACATTGAGGAAGGCTGGCACCTAGTTCATCCATACTGGGCCACACATACGGTCAACGGCTATCAAACAGGACGCTGGACAATTGTCGAAAGCGACACGTTTCATACGGATGATAATATTCCAGATATGAAACGTGAAGTTGAACAGAATGATTTCTATTTCTTGACCGATCCTGATAAGTTTATCACAAAATGCTTTCCTGATGACGATCTATGGCAGTTGTTACATAAACCGTTATCAAAGCCCGAATATGAAGATTTACCCTTCTTACAGGCATCTTTCTATGACTTAGAATTGTCAGTTCAAGGTAATCATTCATGTACAGTACGTTCAAATAATGGAAAAGCGGAAGTGAAAATCGGCGTTCCGTCTGACAGAGGAAAGCGGTATAAATTTGGTTATAAGCTTTTTGCACGACACCAAGTAGAATCAGAAGGTGAATATGACGTTATGCTATTAAGTCGATATATTCTACATTACGTCCATGAAAGCACTGCCGTGTTCGAGCTCCGGTTTCCTATCATTGGTGTTTTTAATCTGGAGATACATTGCACAGATCCAAAACGACCTTTGAAGACTGATTGGATATGCGACTATAAGATAATTTGCTCCGAAGTAATGCCAGAATGTGAACCATTGCCGATTGTTCCACATATCGTATGGGGTCCCGGAGAAGCTCTGGATGAAGTTGGAATGGAAAGTCTCAGTTTCAAACAACCAATTGTAAGTTTAGATGATGATACTGTAACACATCTACGCTTTGCTATGCCAAAAGACAAAACAATTGAAATGGAAGCAGATTTAATTACAAATAACCAATCATCAGATGAGTTATGTAGTCATGTTGTCACAGAAACGGACGAGGACACGGTGATTGTAAAGGTATCACCTCCAGGGGAAGGGGAATATGCATTGCAGATTTACGTGAAAGAGGAGACGGGGGACCGCAAGAATGTTTGCAACTTTCTAATGCACAGGACGCAAATTGTTGAGGTAACTTAAATGATTTATAGAAAATGATTGTAAAATAATTATGTGTCATATTTGTGTGACCTAGTTTTGTCAATTTTGATGTTATAAAAGCGCCCAGTGTCGATTGTTTACTTCAACTAACTAGATGTGTGCATGTTATTTGCGTTTTAAATCATTTGTCCCCATGAGTATTTACCTCCTTTATCACACACCCGTGCCGATTTTGCGACTCCGTAAATATGGTATTGCACAACCGTGCATATATTTTGGCGTGACGTCATTAGCCTTATACAAACATAGTGTAAAGACGCGCTAAATGTTAGCGTTATACTATAGGCGCGTCAATGAAAAAGGACTCTTATTTCACTTTAAACGGTCATTATTTTGGGTATGTGATAAATAGAGGATATTGAATTAGTGTAAGTTCAATACTGAATTTATTGCACTCGTTGAATAAAATAATATTATGCTCGCCAGAGGCTCGCATAATATAATTTGATGCAACTCGTGCAATAAATTCAGTATTGAACTAACACTCCTTCAATATCCTCTATATATAACATGTTCATGATTGTCTTTTGCTTAACTGTATAACAATACAACTGCGTTTATTTTATTTCATATGCATTCATTGGAAACAAAATAGATAAATAAGAAATGACGTGGACAAAACCGTATCATTTAAAGTAAAAATTTCAAAATAACTAATGACTGAATAGCGTCACGATCGGACGGCAGGGATGTTCTGGCTAAATTACATGCTGTACCGGCAACATGAGTAAAATCAGTTGCCGCAAGCAGGCTAAGGGTTAATTCTACTGAAATAAATTACTAATTTTCTATTCATTGCACTTTCATTAAAAATGTTAATTTGCTGAACTAACTGTATTCAACTATTTCACACACATTTTCATGATTTGAATTAGGACCCAGAATTAGCAGACATACGTGCAGAGCTTCTTACAGCAACTGAGAACGGTGACGTTGACATACTGTCACACTGGTTAGACAAGTTTAATGAGCATAATATGGAAGACCGTGGGGACCTTTCTTTGGCCAAGAAGAAGCTTCAAGCGCTGAGGTTGAACAGAGGTTTGTATTTTATATCTGTACAAGGACACATACCCTTTACAATTCGAGTTTGTCTTGACCGAGCGTGCCGTGTTGTGCGACCATTATTTTCTTACAGTCTAATTACCTTATAAACATGTCCTTCACTTCAGAATTCTAATATATTTTAATGATACGAAAATGAAGGAATTTACATTTTTGTTCAATGAGATATTTGTAAAATTGCAGATATTCGCGAGGCAATGGATAGAAAAGACCTTGATCTTTTAGAGAAACTTCTTCACAGCTCTAGTGCTAGCGATATCAGTATTCGACAAAGTCTTGGCGACCTTGCTGTTAAGGTAGAGGCGGTTAGATCCCGACTCCGACGTCTGAAACGATTGCGGCACGAGGTTTTAGCTATGGATCAGAAAACTATATCTGAAATGAGGAGCTATCCGAAACCACCTCAACCGGTACATAGTGTAATGGCCGCAACTTTCTTGCTACTAGGGAACAAGGAGTCTGACTTGAAGGTCGGTTTCTAGATACTGTTATGTCGTTGTTCGAAAATTTTTTTTTTAATTTTGTCTGCATAATTACTGTGCTAATAGTTCATCCAGCTATATTTTTCTATAGTTACAAAATGTTAATATATCCTTTGTAATATAACGTTTTTTGACATAATTGATAAATCAAGATGACATCTTACATTAAGAATTTATTATTTATATTAATTTTATATTCAACAATGGCTTGTACGAATGATATAAATGTTTGACATTATTTGTCTATAGTTTTATTAAATGAAATTATCAATGCGATTATCTTCTTTCCAACAGAAATGGTCAAAGATACAAAGTCTGATAATGAAGAAAGGGAAAGACGCGTTAAAGCGGCGAGTGGCTGAGTTCAGCATTGACAAAGTTTCCCCGGCAGTTTTGGAACGTGTTCACTCTATCCTGTCAGGTTTCGATCTGGAGACTGTTCAGATAGCCAGTGCTGGAGCCGCTACATTCTACCAATGGGTAAAGTGCAATACTCGATAATTAAATTTAAAAGGAACTTGTAAGACTTTCTTGTTACTGAAAGACACTATATCATAGAACAGGGAGACCATAATAAAATTCCTCTTAACGTATTAATATGAAAATCAATCAGAAACGCATATACATGTATAATGTCCAGGTTCTACTACATATATGAGAATCATCAAACAAAAGCAAATAGTACAGCATGCTTCCTTTACATGTTTTCCACTTCTGTTTTCCTTAAATCCATCGGGGCTTTTGTCTATACTGTTATGCTTGATGTATTTTGTTTACGGTAAACATTGCATATTCTTGTTTTTCAGGCAATCACTATGGCCGGGGAAGCTGAACACTTGGACTAAACGTGTTGTTACTTTGCCTAGATGGACTTCAAAAATACGAACACAACAATAAACAGTTTATATTTTGAAAGAAAAAAAACACGTTACATGTAATTTTTATTCACAAATAATGTAAATAATAAAAATATCGTTAGATATCAAAGTTCGTTTACATAATGCATTGACACATCAGTTTTATGATATTGTGATACATATTGAACCCATGGGTAGAAATATCAAGTTGATGATACAACGTCCGAGGACAAACAGCCTTAACCGTTTACATGATGGACCAAAACTAGTATTTGACTCGAAAGTCTCCACTGTTGGTAGTTTGTTAATCAAAGACACTAAATTTCAAATGTATTGTTCCGAATTTGAAGGTGGACAAATTCATTACAGAAATTTAAACAAATTGTTTTCAACAAAAAGCCGAGAATTTTATAAGGTGCGTCAGGGCTTCTTACTCAAGACCTGCCTATACTGAACAATGGTCTAACAATATAACAAACATGGCGTCATATATTTGTATGTACACCCTTTATCTTCCCAAAACTCTATGACCAATTTGAATAAGACAATTCAACACGGCACAATAAAGCACATAGTCACTTCCAATCACTCGGAAAGTCGCGCCCTATTATTTGTCTCTCGTTAATAATTTCGATTGCAGCATTGGAGTCTCCAGATTTATCGTTTAATTGTTGGACCAGCTTTCAGGAGATCGTCTAGGTCACCAGTCCTGTACATTAACTTCAATTTGTCATGACCACCAATGAACTTTCCGTAAATGAAAACAATCGGTACCTGTGAAATAAATAGTCTCGGGGTTAAACACGTCAATACTTTCGTTTTAATATCAAATTAAACTCGGTATCATAGTATATTATACAATTAAGTTTATTTGACATAATTAATTCGACTTGTCTTTGTTAACATACCATTAAAAACAACTTAAAGGAAAAATTATTGGTGAAGAATAAGTTGATTTATGTCTTAATTAATATATATTACATGTAGAAAAATAGATTTTAATTAAATAATGTATAATAATGTTTACGATTACCCAACTCTCTTAAAAGTCCTAAAAGCGAGTAATTACATAAAAGATGATTCAAAGTTATATAAACCATCACAGATCAAGAATGAGTAATGTGTAGTCTCCAGATTTAAACAATAACTATATTACCGACGATGCCCCAGTAATCAGTTTAAGGTAATTTTGCATTTCTCTTGAGTCGTTTTCTTTATCTACATTATAAAAAGCGACATCTGATTGAGATAGCCTCTTCCCTGTAAATTTCCTTATGGTATTCCGTGCACCAAGACAGTATGGACATCCCTGTCGAGAAAAAATAGCAACCTTGTGCGTCCTTATTATTTTATCCACAGTGTCCTTGACCCCACCTGTAGTCATTGTCAATTCTTTTATCAAGTTTTCTCACAGAATTGAAAAACACTATTTCAATCCCTACCAAGTAGCGCGGTTACTAAGTCAAGTATGTAAATATTTCTCCGCCATATTTTAAACATTTTACTTTTCAGCTATTTCATACATATTCAGATTTCTCAGCTATTGTTAAACCTTTAACAATATACAGAGACCAATTAGTAAATTAAATCAATAAAATAAATCCAGTAAGGAACTAAATGAAGCATGTTCTCTAAATCCTCCTATATGTGATACAATAACGAGGAGATGCCTTTACCTAAACCATGCAAATAAGTTTCGATTTTAAGATAAAATTACCACCTTTTAACGGTTAATTGTAGAAATTGTTTAGACAAACAATGTAATCACGATTGATCTTTGTAGTCAATTTTGTATCTTTATAGATTGCATTGTTCTATATTCTTTGGATCATGAATCTACCTACTGTACTGGAATTAAAAACTTCACATTCGATTTTCTTTTATAAAAAAACACAAGAAATGTGTATTTTTTAAATTTTTAATGTACTTTATTATGAAATTAATTACTTAAACATATAGCTATTCAACAGAGTAAACAAAATTAATTTGTTAACAAATGAATGAATACACAATCTCTCTTTTATGCATAGGATTATTTTCAATTATGAAATTCATAGATGTTTATACTTTTCTTAATTTTACATGCATATATTATAAAACTATCGATCATTTAGTATTTTGGTCAGTGGCAAATCATATGTATTGATTTGCATCAGATATATTTCATAACATAAAATGTTGAAATCAAGTCTGCTATTCTTGATTGATCATATGAGCCGCGTCACGACAAAACCAACATAATGGGTTTGCGACCAGCACAAACCAGCCTGCGCATCCGCGCAGTCTGATCAGGACCCATGCTGTTCGCTTACCAACCCTATAACAAGTAGAGAAACTGATAGCGAACAGCATGGATCCTGATAAGACTGCGCGGATGCGCAGGCTGGTCTGGATCCATGCTGGTCGCAAATGCACTATGTTGGTTTTGTCGTGACGCGGCTCATATGTATTTGACCTCTGTAAAATTCATGTCATTATAGACGCATTAAGATTATTTAAATGAAAGTTAAAAAAGGACACAGTCCAGAAACGTCTAAAGTGAGATGGTGGTCAAGTTATTTGACAGAATGTCAAAAATAAACCTTTCAATTTAAAAGAAAGTCTAGATGCGATTGAAGTTTGAAATATTCTGCATTGATTTTTTTGTTTGGTTTTACGTCGGACTAACACGGAATAGCTCAAATTGCGACTTTCCAGCTTTACTGACAGAAGAAAAGAACCACCGAGCTAGATAGCTTCCTCACATGAAAGAATTCAAAGTCCCTGTCGAGATTCGAACCACAGCGGCGAAGTGCAAGTGGTAATTCATTAGTTCACGCAAATGAATTACATGTACTATAGAAAAGTAAATTACACGACGTTTTTAAATAGATACTTACTCGTATATCAATAATTGATAAATGTTATAATACAAGTCAGACCTTTTTATGTCTCTTGTTCTGAGATCCCGTAACACATTTTTTTTTCATGGTTTTATATCATAAATATAATGCTTAAATGAAGATTTATCAATATTGTAAGTTCCAAAAAACATTATTTGTAAAGATATTATCGAATTTACATTTTCATATTAATAAAGGGAGGCTTTGGGTCGACGAAGATGGTGTGCAAGGGTGCGTGAGCCTCATTTAGACGACTTGAACGGCAGGTCTTTTTCTGGCACCAACAGCCCTAGTAAGAGCTATCCTTTCATGTTGTCACAGGTAACTGTACATTTAGATGTACAGTGACCCACTTTTGGCTCAAAGTTCATATCTATGGCTAATACTCCGTGGAAATTACATGCAGGTAAATTATCACCACTTTGTGCTACAAAATTAACACTTTAAGGATGTCCGGGGTCCGTACTCGACAGCGAAAGCCTAACGGTGGACCTTGGCCGCAGGGACATAAATTTTGCACGCGACAATCCGCCTCACAATAGTAAACATTTGTACCAAGTTATATTGAAATCCCTCTATGCATGTAGAAGTTTTGCTCCAGACAAGCGTTTTCAATGACCCCTAAGTGTGATCTTGACCTTTGACCTAGAGGCCTGATTTTGTGTGCAACACGGCTTCTCATAGTGGTGAACATTTCTATGAAGTTTCATTAAAATTCTTCTATGGGTGAAGGAGATATGCTCCGGACAAATATTTGACACCGCCCACCCAGCCGCCCGTCCAGCCTTCCGCCAGAAGGGGGGGGGGAGGGCTATAATATGACCTGTTTTTCAAACAGGCGTATGATAATACACAAAAACGAAGTGTTCATACAGACAACTCTATTCGCAGAAGGATGTATATGGATAGTGTAACTAGAAATCAATCAGCTTACAAATATTCAACAGTTTCGAGTAAAGTAGTTTGTCTTCAAGAGGGTACGTCCGCCCTCAGTAAGGACCCCGAAAATGTCACCAGTCATGTCCTTAAAAGGTTAATTTTGCATTACAGAGCGGTGATAATTTTTATCCGTGCAAATATTTTACAATTTTCTATTTCAACTCTTCAAAATAATATCCATCTACAGAAACTTTTAAACGTTTAATAGCTTCAACATAGTCCTCCTCAGGCAGTACCTTTCAATAGCTAAAAATGGCTGGCCCAAGTCTCTACTGTTGTAGCGGTGACCTGCAAGATTTCAGTCTTGGACAGAGGAAAAAGCCACAGGGTGTCAAGTCTGGATAATACGGTGGATGTTTAAAGGACAGTCACTTATTTTTCTCGAAAAAAAAAATAATACAATAGCGCCTATATGTTCAGGTAGCGCTGTCATGCAGAAAATACAAACTTTTCAAACCAGTTTTTTCTGCAATTTTTCTTAACACGATACTATGATGTGACAGAACTACCCCTACTTAACAGTGGCTCTTTAACATTTTGGTGTCTGTTTAAATTAGAGCCCTCGACATTTTTAAATGTGAATAAAATTCTTAATCGATTGATTAGCAACATGATTGTAATAATATCATTTAAAAGCAGATGCTTCAAGTGAAGCATAGCATAGTTAACATAAACAAAAGAATCATCAGCTAAATATGAAAATATACTTCACAATGCATTTCATATTGACGCACCTTCGTATCTAAGATACCGTTACAGGTTATAAAATACAGACTTTCGCGAATAGTGTTTATGTTGACACATCACAATGCCCGGTGATTTCAAGCAAATAGATCGTCATTCTGGCAAGTATTACCAGCGTTGTCCATGACAAGAATACTTATAACTTGCCAATACTTATTCGCAGATTACTCGTATTCTTGTATTCAAAACTGAATGAAATTTAAATGTTTTCCTTTCATTACCTTTGTTTCAACAACAAGTAAACTAAATCAAGTCGCACTATTCGCTACATGATACGATTAGTTTACAGAAAGAAGAGGGCCATGATGACCCAGGTTACAGGTCACATTGAATGCATGTATGTTTTTTTTTATCTTTTCCAGGCTGCATAATTATAAAATAAGTGATTCCCAGAAAGGGGCCATTTTTGACTCCAGGGGCGTGACTTTTAAGTTTAACTTTTGTAGATGTCTCCTTGGCAATGCTACGTGCCAAAAATCTAAGGTCTTGACATTTTTATTTCACAACAGATGACTTAAGGTATGAGCCCCCTAATAGGCACTATAAGGAACTATAAAATTGACGACATAGGTCAGTTATATACCTTAAAAGACACAAGAATGCAAAATTTAAACAAAGTTTACCGTATGGTTTACGAGTTATGGAGATTGCATTGTATCTATATATACAAGTCTAAAAAAGCTAAGTGGCCCAAAGGCAGGGCCAATTTTAACCCGTGTGGTATGATTTACACAACTTTTGTCGAAGACCACAAGATGATGCTACAAGCAAAATATCTAAGCTCTGGGCATCATTATTTCAGAGAAGATTTTTGGACATTTTTATTATACTTTACTATTCAACCCCTTGTAAAATAAGTGACCCACAGGGGGTGGCCATTTTTAATCTAAGAAGTATGACTTATATAGTTTTTGTAGATGTCCACTAGACAATGCTACATGCCAAATATATAAGCTCTTGGCATTGTAGCGTCTTACTTAAATGTATTTTCCCATACATGTCTATATAAACTAAGAGGCCCTTAGGGAAAGGCAAATTTTGACACCATGGACATGATTTATATAACTTTTGTACAGGACCACAAGGTGAGACTTAGTGCAAAATATCTTTAATTTATAACATTTTCCATACAAGGCTATATAAAATAAATGACCTCAGGGCGGGGCCTTTTTGACCCAAGGGTCATGACTTATATAGCTTTTGTAGAGGTCTATAAGGCAATGCTACATGCCAAATATCTAAGCTCTGGGCAGTGAAGTATCATAAAAAGACTTTTTTTATACAAGTCTATATAAACTAACAGGCATAATTTATAGAACTTTAGTAGAAGACCACAAGGTGATGCAACATGCCAAATATTTAAGCTCTGGGAATTGTAACTTGAGGAATAGTCTTTTATTTTTACTATACAAGTCTATATAAATTAAGTGGCCCAGGGGTTAAGGCAAATTTTGACCCCAGGGGCATGATTTATATAACTGTTGTAGAGGTTCACTTGACAATGTTACAAGACAAATATCTAAACTCTAGGCTTTGCAGTTTCAAAAAATACTTATTATTTTCCTATATAAGCCTATGTGACCCCTAGGACAGGGCCATTTTTTTAATCCCAAGGGCATGATTTATGTAACTTTTGTAGAGGAACACAAGATGATAATAAATGCCAAATATGTAGACTATAGGGATGGAAGTTTCCAAGACAAATTTTAAAGATCTCATCTTTAAAGTCCATTTTTCGCTCCTGTGACCTACTTATGCACCAGACTGTAACCATTTTGTACAGGTTCTTTTAATGTTTTGTTAAAAATTCATCAAGTGGTTTAGGAGGAGATGCTGTTGTTTAAAAATATTGTGGACAACAATGAACAACATTCAACAGCAACAGACACACTGCAGCCTCTGAGCACAAAAGGTGAGCTAAGAATTGATCTCAGGTGAGTGACCTAAGACCATCATGGCACTCTTGTTTATAATTCATTTCAATACCAAAAAATGAACATAAAATAAACATTGAGCATTCAAACTTTTTATTTACATAATACAATAACTATAAATGTATAATTATAAAGTTTGATTAAAGCAACAACTTGTATGTTAATCACATACTAGTCCTGTATATCACAGATGTGTTCAATAATAAATCACATTTTTAGCAGAACATAAATTCTACACAATTGTCACTGAAAGTTTGTTTTCAATTTGATAATTCTCTACCTAATTGTACTTAAATGCATTTTTCAATATAAATATTGCAAAATAGTTTCCCAAGGTTTGAAGAGATATCATATTAAACATACTTTATTCAGATCAATAGCTTTATAAAACCTCATTTCATCTCACATGTATAACTAAAAAAATATAAAAAAACAAACTTATTTTAAACATAGTCTTTAAAAACCTAACTAATAATAAATGCTGATAGTAAAAATATATAATAGCAATACTTTTTATGACCATTAGGCCTTTAAAATAATGCTGTATTTGTAATTTTGTTAATATCTTTGGTAATTCTTTATGAAAAATGGGTGAAACCTAAATATACAGTTTTTATCCCATGTTCATAAAATATTGACTTCTAAAATGTAATAAAGCTGTAATACTGATCAAAGTAAAAGACATGAACATTAAAATACAGACACACAATTCCATTCTTGTATTTCAATAAATGAAAATGACAAAATAGTAAAGTTAAAGTGAAGACCTCATTGACTGTAATTGACAAAGTTTGAGTAACAAATAATTATCTTCTACAATATTTTTACATTACCCACAATATGCAATTTCTTTTCCAATATGTAAAGAATCATTCTGTAAAAATAAACAAAGTGTAAGTAACTATGAAAAAAGTAATTAATTTACTGATATTTTACATGCACAATTATTTTAAATTCTTTTTTTACCAGGCCCTTGTAGAATGTTAACTTGTGTTTAATTGTTAACAATTACAAAAGAAATTTTGATAGTTGTTTAATTTTCTATTACAATGAACACTTTAATGTCTATATCCTCTGTTTGTAGAATGTTTTTCCTTTTAAACTGAGTTCTTTTTCCCATATTTCATATTCCTTTTCCAATAACTGTTTTAGAGCCACCCGTCGGACCTGAAATTGGTACAAACACTATAGCATTATATCACAGACTATGATTACATAGGTGATTATAATTACATGTTTACTAATGTATCTGACTAGGAAATTCTCCCTGGCTTGTTCACTTGATGAATAATCTGTCAATATAAAGCCTACAATTTATAAGTCTGTGTACAGATTGTGCTTGATAGATACCTTATCCGTAATAAACTCCACTTTAACTTGACTTTCTTAGAGTTAGACACTTAAATTCTATAAATACTGCTTATTTTCCTCATTTTTACCACTTGAAAATAGAAGTTTATGGATATTGAAAAGACACTAGACGGCAGTAATTTTGCAATTTTCTTGTTTAAAAGTTGTAAATTACCATTAACTAATTTCTACATAACATTTAATGTGACAAGACGATTTCTTATGCAGAGGAAAAGCTGAAAGAAACAGGAGCATTCTAGTAATGTTTCAAACCAACAACATAAACAGAAAGTTTGATTGAATTTTACAATAATCTAGTATCTTCTACTGATTGATTTTCTCCTCTGCGAATATTTTAACATTGTCTAAGTTCAAGACTGGCACTGAATATGCTCAAACTAACATTGTCAAAGTTCAATAGTAACGCAGACCAAGTTCAAACTAACATTGTCAAAGTTCAATAGTAACACAGACCAAGTTCAAACTAACATTGTCAAAGTTCAATAGTAACACAGACCAAGTTCAAACTAACATTTTCAAAGTTCAATAGTAAGACAGACCAAGTTCAAACTAACATTGTCAAAGTTCAATAGTAACACAGACCAAGTTCAAACTAACATTTTCAAAGTTCAATAGTAAGACAGACCAAGTTCAAACTAACATTGTCAAAGTTCAATAGTAACACAGACCAAGTTCAAACTAACATTGTCAAAGTTCAATAGTAACACAGACCAAGATCAAACTAACATTTTCAAAGTTCAATAGTAAGACAGACCAAGTTCAAACTAACATTGTCAAAGTTCAATAGTAACACAGACCAAGTTCAAACTAACATTGTCAAAGTTCAATAGTAACACAGACCAAGTTCAAACTAACATTTTCAAAGTTCAATAGTAAGACAGACCAAGTTCAAACTAACATTGATAAAGTTCAATAGTAAGACAGACCAAGTTCAAACTAACATTGTCAAAGTTCAATAGTAACACAGACCAAGATCAAACTAACATTTTCAAAGTTCAATAGTAAGACAGACCAAGTTCAAACTAACATTGTCAAAGTTCAATAGTAACACAGACCAAGTTCAAACTAACATTGTCAAAGTTCAATAGTAACACTGCCCAAGTTCAAACTAACATTATCCAAGTACAATACTAACACTGTCCAAAGTTCAAGACCGACATTTTCTAAGTTCAAGACTTAAATTGACCAAGTCAAAGATTGACCAAGTTCAAAACTAACACTGACCAAGTTCAGGACTAACATTGTCCAAGTTCAATACTAACATTGACTTTGTTCAAGACTTACATTGATGAACTTCAGGACTAATATTGACAAACTTCAAGAAAATAGCATACAGTTTTAACTGTACACAAATCCTAACACTACACTGTACAGGCATAGATCAACATTATCTAAGAGCCCAAACAACTTACAGATAATGCTGCTTTTGCAGCCATTCTCATTTCAGCTTTGATAACATCTGCCTCTGATCTGATTCGTTTCCCCCAACTAGACTCCTCAAGCTTTTCATTCCATGTTGCCCTCTGATTTACATTCTTCTCCCTATAACATATTATAATTATAGTAAAACTTTGAAACTGCTTGTGTTCAGCACTGATAAAAAGATAACTATAAGTTATATATGTGGGGACAATAACAGTAGGATTTTACTGACATACATAAGCAAACCCACAAACTACAATGATCGTTCTCTCTAAGATTCACTTACCAAAATTTTACTGTAAACAGGCCCAACAGCCCATTATTACAGAGAAAACAAAACAGACAAAAAATAACATTTTACATAAGAAAACTAACAAACAACTTCAAGAGAAACAATTTTACAATTAACATTAGATTATAAACTGTACTTAACGTCAAGAAAATTTGAATGAAATAGATACTTATTTTAAATCATTACAAATACTTTTTACAATGGAAATTAAAGGGGGGTTTAAAATAAGACAATTTGTAGGAAAAAATGTAAATGAAGGAAACACAAGCACATTATTACTTACTTATAATATAATATAGCTCTCATAAATCATTCTGATTGAAGAACTCTAAATATATTTTGATGATACAAACTCATTACTGATTAAATCTATAGCTTGTACATATTTGTGAAACATGCATTTAAGTATGTCTCACTAAATCTATATGTTTTCCTTTCAGGAATATTTGACAATTACATGGCTTAAATGTTCATGTTCTACAGTGAGGTTTAACATTAAACTGACCATATAATTAAACAAGTTGGCCATGATGTCAAAAATTGTCTTACAAAGTTTAATAAGCTCTAAAATAGCTGGATAACTTTAAGCGAATAAAAAGTTTTTTAACTATATTAAAGCTACTTGTTCAACTTGTTCAGACAAATTTAAAACTTACTTATAAATACCTCCAAGGACAGGGTTAGTAAATGGGTTAAGTCCATATTTGATTGGCCACTTTATTTATTTTCATTATTAAAAATCTTTTCTTTTTTTTTTCCTTTAGTAAAAAAGCATTGGGTCATTTATCAACAAAGGGACATTTATAAGGAAATTTAGGAATTTGCATTTATAGATTAAAAATTAAACAGTTAATATTTTTGACAGATGTTTTTAACATAATAATAAGTTAACAAGTAGCTTTTACTAATTTACCTGCACTAATGTGTGGAAATAAGTAACATTTTGATGATAAAGTTATAACATCTATCCTAATATCCGTAGGACAAGTGAAACATTGCATGTGAGACACATACAAAATCAAAGCTTCTATTACCATTAAAGAAAAGCAATGTGCATAAATTACAAAAATAAATAATTTCACCTCAACCCTCATGATTCTGCCTCCTTTTGGTTACTGAAATGGCATAATTGTACATTTCATTTTTGTTTTATTTTGTATTTGATGAATAAAAACCATGATAATAAATAGAAAAGCTTCATGAGATATAAAACTGGCAATATTGTACTTACAATCTTACAACATTTTCTCTGTCTGCCATAACCTCATCATACTGTAAATATACAACAATATACAACCTTAAAATACATTGTCATCATAAGCTAAATAGTTTTTGTTTTTTTAATGCGTTTATTTAAGGTCGCCGCCGGAAAGCCCATATGGACCACCGTACACTCAAGTCGGGCCATCCTAGATCGTCCCGCCGAGATTTTTTCTTCGATTTTTTTCCAGCTTTTATTGGTGGAGGAAGACCCCAGGTGCCCCTCCGGGCATTATTTCAGGCACGAGCGGGCACCCGGGTAGAACCACCGACCTTCCGTAAGCCAGCTGGATGGCTTCCTCACATGAAAGATTTCGACCCAAGTGAGGATCGAACCTACAGCGGTGAGGGACCAGTGATCTCAAGTCGGCGACCTTAACCACTCGGCCACGGAGGCCCCATCAGCTAATTAGACTTCAGTGAACAGGTTTTATTGTACTGCTAGACCTGTTCACTGTTGCACAATAAAAGCAACATAAAAAGTTATGGAAGCCACAACTATGTCATCATTTAACTTTTTACCATAATTTACTTATTTTTATCATCTTTTTTTGTTTTAGTCTGACCCTCCTATAACACTGGATGAATGTTCTCTTTTTTTTTTTTTTTAAAAAGACCAAATTTCATGTGAAGATAAAAAATATGAAAAGAGTATAACAGACTAAAACAGCCAATTAACCCTGTTATCAAGTAGGTCCGGTGTGTATATATAAAATCCTTACAAGAAATAACCTCCTTTGTTAGTCTCACTCAGTGTTTTTGAATGACATTAATTTCCCCTGATAACTACATTAATTTTAGATTCATTGGATTTATTTAGAAACTTGAACATACATTTCAAGATATAAATGATAATTCATTTGATCATTTTGCTTGGAAATAAGCAGACATTCACATGACAAAGTTCAGGACATTTCAAGAGATACATTTTTTTTCCAATTACTTGTTTTTATTTCATTTCCTTGCTTTTTGTTTGTTTTTCTTTTCTAAGATATCATTACAATCACACGATATATATGTAGAGTGCCCCCTAATGTTCTTTGTTAAGATCAAGCAAAAATATTGAACATTATGTTTAATGAAGTTTATAATCTTATAATTAATATAATAATAATTGTAAGCTTGCTGTCATTCTGTTAATAAAATAAGTGTTATTCTGAATTTGATGAGAAAAGATATATGTAAACAAGAAATGTTTCTTAAAGCTATATCTATAAGGTCATTAAATAATATGTAAATAAAAATGTTATGGCAAGACAGCATGATTGGTATTTCATAAAATTTTGTGCAAGACATTGTAAAAGACATTTTAAAGCAAGAAGACAGATGGTTGTTGATAAAGCATTTTTTATATATTCACAAGGCCTGAATTTTAGAGTGCCAAAGTACAAATTTCTCAGATAAGTCAGCACTGGAACATAAAACTATAAAATGACGCATAACAGAGTTACTGCCCGAACAAGCCAAGGTTTTCAAACGCATGAATTCACTCATGGACAGAAAGTTTTAACAAAATATGATATGCCAGCCCGGCAGCCCACTTATACCACTATCAGAGTCAGGTAAGAGTTTTGGCTAGACTTTAGTATATGTTGCAGCTACTTTTAACATTTTACACAAAATTATTTAATATTTAGCAGTTCATTCACTCAGATTACTTCTAGGGTCATGGTCAAGGGTTATTGGTAAAGGTTAGTGTAATGGGCATGGAGCTAAATATAAGATGGAGAAGAGACTGTGACGTCACACAGTTAAAATCAGTATCAGCGGAATTGTGTTCCGGCAAGTTATATGTCGCGAGATTTTGAGAGAGTTGATGCATCCTGGGTAAAAGTAGCCAAAATACCACCATTTTGAATTTCCGGAGGTACATCAACAAAAAAGACTAAACATTTTTTACTTATATAAGAAGCAATAGTTATTTATTCTAAAACGTACAAAACACACTTTTCCACACAAATATTTCTCCGATGAAAATCCATGTTGGCAATGTAAGCAATAATTCAAGGATATCGACGAAGTTAAACGATAGCGTAAAAATCGGAGACTAGCGGGAAAGCCCGATTATCACCAAAGCACGCAAAGGATTGTGGTTCTGAATCGGACTCTCGTCTATTTTCGGAGTTTCCTATCTGTTGTTTATATATCTGTATAATGGGTTAGGGATAGAGGTTTAGGGTTAGGATTATAAAATATGGATTTTACTGCGGAGAGATTCTATAGGTGCTCCGAGAGTTTCATATAACTCTGTACAACCATTACCGTTGGTCTAGTGGTTAATATGCCCCCCTTTCAATTCGGGAGGTTGAAGGTTCGAGTCTAATGAGAAGCGTTAATTGAAGGATGAAAGTTTCTCTTTGGACTTGTTCCAAAATGGCTGCTTCTTGAGCCGCGAGGTAGTTGAAATGAAAACCAGGTTACCGATTGCGCAGTGGTATGGGTTGGGTGGTACATGGGATGCAAGCAAAAGGTGTCTTATAAGTCAGAAATGGCTGGCCTTTTCAGTAGGGTAGACATTATAATAAACAAGACCTTTACATTTATTACCTTTTTATTTTGGTTCTAATTAATTAATTAACTAATTATCTTAGACCATGAATTTATCTAGGCCAGCCCAGATCAGCAACTGTTACACAAACATTTCAAGTTTTATTATGATACTTGTACATGTTTTAGTTACACCCATATTTTCATGATTGAGTATATATCAGATGCTGCTACTGATATATGCTCAAGCATCATACTGGAAATTAGGTCAACTATATTAAAATAAAATTGAATCATTTACTTTAATTTATTTTAAAAATTTAAATTTAAAAAAAAAAATCTAATTCTATTTCTGATTTTAGGGTTGTGTACATATATAGAATTCTTGTATGATGTAATTTTATGTGATGTTTGATTGTAGTGTTATATTTGCTTTTAATCATTTAATGCTTTCTTACCCATATTTATATGTGCTGATAAACCTTAACTGTTTTACAGAGTCTTTCATAAATGTACATTGATCTTCTTAATACTGTGGTGGTCACTGACCTAACCGAAATATAGTGGTGTTTGACCTTGGTGAGATGGGACGTCCCAGTATTCCCTCAGTCCACATCCTGGTTTCCTGTTGAATGGACAAGCAATAAACTGCTCAGATTAATCTATCTGATTACATCCGTGTGTCAAAGTATCCAAAGAACTTGAACATCTATGTAAGTTTGTTATACCATTATAGATTTACTATAATGGTGGCAGCGGTGATTTAATTCTAGCTGCGGCCTGTATTTTTAAGACGCTACCAGTCTTCGGACCCACTTAGGTTTTTGTACCATTGTGGTTTCTAATTAGGATATTTGATACCGGTATCATATTTTTTTTCTTCTATTGTTGTTCCAAAACCTAGCAATTTTTGAAAGAGAATTGCAGAGGAATTTTTAAGAGTGATATTTTCATAATATTGCTTATTTTCAGGCAGAAAGAGGTGTGATATTTTTTATATTGCATAATTCAAAGAGCGATATTTTTTTTTAATATTGCTTATTATAGTTACTGTAAGGCACAATATTGTAGTATTGTGCAGGTGTGTGGAATAAAATAAATTTTATTTCAGAAATTGGTTTACAGTAACGGTAAGTGGTACTTTGCATGACCTGTATTTGCCTGATATTTTTAATTATTTGTAATAAAAATATTGTAATAAGTAATTATTAATATGGCAATGGCGATGAATAGGTCAGACACAAAAGGCCCCCATACCAATAAATCTAAGGTTGCGATTAATTTTGCTTCTGATGACGAGTTGGTTAAAATTCCGGGGGTTAGTAAGAAGGTTGCTGCTATTCTCCTATCTATAAGGGGGGCTGGCGGTGATATCACAGGCGACATATTGTCTGCAATATGTCGTAAAAAGTTTACGGGTGAGGAATTAGATATGATAGATTTTTCACCAAATGAGGTTTTGGAAGAATTCCCTAGGAAAAAGGAGGCTTTAGAGCATCATACTGAAGCTTTTAAAGGGGAAGGGTCCTTGGATAAGTCATTTAGGTCCTTGGATCAGTCATTTTTAGACTTTTCGGAACCAAAGCCTGGGGCAGTAAAGCCTGATGTGGCCAGAGGGTCAGCTGGGGTGAAAAGCACTTCAGTATTTGGGCGTAGAGAAGGTAGACCTGTGATGGGTGGGGATAGCATGGGGTATAATGGGCATATGTTTACCACACCTAGGGTTCCCCAGGCTATTCCTGCTGATTTTGGGTCTGAGCGGTCTCTATGGAAAGAACAGGGGATCACCTCATTGGGGGATAATGAGTTTGAGCCATTATCTCATGGGGGATGGGAACCAGTTTATCCTGTAACAGCCAGGTCAAGACTATCGTTAGATAAACTGCCCACGAATTTAACATTTGATGGCAATGGCAGTTGGGAAGCTTTCATTTTTAAGTTTTCCAGATATGCTGAGATGTGCCAGTGGTCAAATGAGGATAAACTGTGTGCGTTGTGCTTGACGTTAGAGGGCAAAGCTTTAGATTATTATGTAATTTTACATAATAGTGGTGAAGTGCAATCGTATGCTTCTTTATACGATAAACTGGAGGCTCGGTTTGGTGACCAAATCTCACCAGAGGCAGCTCAAGGGCAATTTTATCAAGCTTTTCAAAACCCGGGCGAATCTCTTGATGATTTTGCAGACAGGTTACGTGCCTTAGCCGATAAAGCCTTTCAGGGGGTATGTGCCCAATTTATAACAAGTCAGGTTATAATTAGGTTTTGCCATGGTTTATTAGACCAACAAGCTGGGTTCCATGTTTACATGCATGATCCATCCACGGTCGAACAAGCCAAATTATTGGTCCGTACGTACCAACAGAGCCATGAGGCCATTTTTGGTAGGAGCCAACGCAGTGAAAGGTGTGAAGGAAAGAGGGTTTCTTCAGTCAGTACTGATAGTTATGAAGTTCATTCTGATGAAGATAACTCTTCTGTGACTTGGGAAACTGTGATAGAGGCTATTGAGGAACTTGAAGATAAGTTTGAGAAGGCTTTCACAGTTGATTAGGCTAAGGTCAAAGGTAGCCCTAAAAGTTTATAAAATGCTTTTAGGTGTTTTAAGGCTACAAGGTTGGGTCGATATCATGTTTATTCTAATATGTGGTTCTTCTAATCCCAAAGGGGGGAAGGGAATTGGATAGAATAAAATGTAGGATATCGATCTGGGGAAAATCAGGTTGTAAACATGGTGTTTGGATCCAGGGTGCCATGTAGGAAATCAACTTGAGGGAAATTCCTTGTAGTTGGAATAAGTCTTGGGGAATAAAAGCCTGCCTCTTACCAGTTAGTACTGGTGGGGGTGAGGGTAGCTGCAGATAGGAACCGCCATTGGGGTAATTAAATTTATCTGGTGGTTAATCAGAGAAGAACTACCATGGGGTAATTTAATTTATCTGGTAGTTTAGCTGATTGCATACCATAGACTGATCACTCATATAAGGTGGTTTATTGGTTTTGGGAGCCACAAGGTAATTTGGCGGGATGGTTGAAGGATCTATCCCGGTGTAAGTTGCTGCAGCACAGATCAAATCGTAATCACGGTCAAATGATATAATGTCTAGTACCATGTGGGAAATCGATTTGGGCCCAGAACAAATCGTAATCATGGTATTTAAAATGATGTAATGTCTGGTACCATGTGGGAAATCGATTTGGGGAAAATTGCCTTGTGGTAGGTGTCAATTAGTATATGATGGCCCATGAATTGGGGGATCCTTTATTGACGATGTAGATGTGGTGCTATTGGCAAGTAAAAGATCACTTGGGTCACTAAGGGTCTTGGGAAGCCTGCCAGGGAAGGAACCAAAATCTACGGGTTTCAGGTTAAAATCGCATCTGTCATTGAGTGTGTTACAATCAGTCTTGGTAATAAGGAACCTTGGGAACGAATCCCAGGAGTGTAAGCTCATTATCTAGGAATCATCTTAGTAATAATGGGTTGCGAGCTTATTGGTGATTATGTTTCAAAAGGCCCTAGAGTCCATTCTGGTGTTATTTTCAGAAATCTGAGTCCCAGAACTGAGATGTTTGGTAACAATATATTCACCATTAAGAGACGGTTAGCTCCCATATAGACAAGCAAGTTGCATCTGGTCAGTTAAGTTCACTGCTATGTAGGGGGTCACCAAGCACGCAGTTCCCGTCTCTTCTAAGCTAGATGACCTATAATGTCATTTGGTAGGTTGCTTGTTAGGCCGACAAGCAATTTATATGACAGTTTGTATGGGATCTATTTGGATGCAGGCATCTGTTAATAGTGATCATTACAAATGTTAGTACAATATTGGATTGCGTGGTTGGGGGTTTCTTATGGCAGAAATAGAATGAGCATCTTGCAGAACTGAAGTAGTAATTGTCATGATGTTATCGGTTAGGTTGAGCTCTTGAAATAATGTCAGAGTTATAACAGTTATCAAAGGAAATGTGTTGTCTTTTTGGGAGGTATAAGAATATAAGACTGGAGATTTATGATTCATTGTGGTTATTTAATGTGGTTTCACAGCTTGTGGGTGAAGGTTACTTCTTGTTGGTTATTGAATATAAATCTGAGTTTGGATCGTTTATTGTCCAGATAAGGTCTTATATTGAGGATTGGGGTATAATCCTCAGGATGCTCATGCTGTTAAGCTGGTAGATGTGATAGGTGTTGCGGTAGTCTCTAGATATAAGCTGCATATCCTTGCATCTGAGTGTGAACCAGTGCATGAGTGGGTTAGAGTGTTTTGGCAGTAGTAAGAGATAAGTCTTCAGTGAATCAATTAGACCTGAAGGAGGTTTTATGTTTGTTGGTGATTGTTAGAGACTAATGTTGGTTAATTCTTCTCAGGGTGCTACTGGTGACAATTCATTCTAATAATTTCTAGTGGGCTGCTCAGGTTAATGAGTGAGTCGTAGAATTCTGCATCGTGGGCTGCTTAGGTGATTGAGTGAGTCGTAGAATTCTGCATAGTCGGCTGCTCAGGTAATTGAGTAAGTCCTAGTGGGGCTGCTCAGCTGATCAAGTCATAGCTGAGCTGCTCAGGTGATTGGTTTATGATAATCACCTATTTGGTACTTGTACTAGAGCAGGGTACAGTACCAGTACTGGTAAGGATCCAGGAAATCATTCAATAGGCTCGTATTGAGTGCTGGATTAGATACTAAAAAGGTCTTATCTGGCAGCCAGCCTTTTCAAATAGGACGGGGAGGAGTGTGGTGGTCACTGACCTAACCGAAATATAGTGGTGTTTGACCTTGGTGAGATGGGACGTCCCAGTATTCCCTCAGTCCACATCCTGGTTTCCTGTTGAATGGACAAGCAATAAACTGCTCAGATTAATCTATCTGATTACATCCGTGTGTCAAAGTATCCAAAGAACTTGAACATCTATGTAAGTTTGTTATACCATTATAGATTTACTATAATACTTTTATATATTTTCTTTTATACAGATTTCTTTTATACAGATTTTTTGTTTGAATTGTTATTGGATAGTCAGTTATGTCGGAAAATAGCTTATATAGCTAATGCTTATATGTTTTTATGAAACCGACTATAAATAAAGATTATCTTATCTTTTTTACCTTTTTATAAACTTTAAGACTTCTACTCAATCCTGGGTGTAATTCATGTATTGAAATTTTGTTTGAAAATACGGAAGAAGAAATATATATTATTTAAACCAAATAACTTACTAATATTTAGTGACATAAACATAAGTTCCAGTTATACAAATTGAGAAGTGGTTCGAAAGTTATATGGTACGAATGTTACAAAAAAACTTGGGTTTAGATAATTTTCATACTTTTATGCGTTCAACTTGTGCCTCAAAAGCCTTCCTGAGATTAGGATTAGTTACACGGTCTGCCTCAAAACGTAGTGCCGTTTCTAAACTCATTTTTGTAGCTTAATAAGTATTAAGTAAATGTCAAAACAAAATAAAGTTGCATCCGTTGCTTGCTTTGGTTGCTTTGGTCAAAGTACACCAAATCAACTTCATAAAAATAGTTCCAGATATTGGTATGTTATGCACACTTGTCTTTCTTTCAAATGTCAATAAATCGATTGAAATCAAATTCATATTACAAATGCTTTATTTATTATGATTTGGGGATGTTCTTATTAGTTTTAAAAATATCATAATTAAATCTGCGCGGAGGAACTGGTATCATATGTAAACAAATTAAAATAGTCCGGTGTTGAGTATTTTTTATCGTTCATGGTGTGAAAAATATATATCGGGTGTAATACCACCAAATATGTGACAGATTTATTATCGATCGTCTCTTTTCCGTGAAACACTTGACAATTGTGTAAACAAACATAAGATATTGTACATTATTATTATCAAATCACATTTCCGATGAATATTTAACTTTATAACAGAATCTCCCAATTTTTCCAATTATGGACAAAATAAATTAATTACATTTTGTTAGTAATATATCTATATGTAGATATGTAAATTTATCAAATCAGAAAAATGAATCTTGGAACTTGTAAATATCATCACGGATTTATATTACAATATAAATCCGTGATATCACCGAGCTAAATATTGTTTATAACTGAGCCATGTCACGACAAAACCAACATAATGCGTTTGCGACAGCAGCATGGATCCAGACCAGCCTGTGCATCCGCGCAGTCTGATCAGGATCCATGCTCTTCGCTATCAGTTTCTCTACTTGTTATAGGGTTTGTAAGCGAACAGCATGGATCCTGATCAGACTGCGCGGATGCGCAGGCTGGTCTGGATCCATGCTAGTCGCAAACCCATTATGTTGGTTTTGTCATGACGCGGCTCATATATCTGTGTAAATATAGAGAACATTTTTCTTTGTTTTCAAACGTCTAAAAAATTAACAGCATTAAAAATGTTGTTTGTGAAATATTCAAGATACAATTAAGACACTTCTTAAAATTAATTAACATTGGTTCATAAATATCAGGGTCTTTGAATATATATACATGTTAAACAATTTTTTGAACATGAGCTAAAAAGCTATTAACTGACAAAGGTATGAAATAATTATATCGAATAAAGCGACTGTAAAAAGAGTCGATCAACTTAAAGGTGCATCAGGGTCTTTACAAAGAACCTGAAAAATAATAAAACAAAACTTATAGTAGTACAGGAATACAATAAGTACAAACAGAAGTTAACAACAAATAAAACATCAACATAAAGAAAATATTTAAGCAGTATAAAAATGTAACACATATAACAGCATACTTTGCAATAGCGGAGATTTAAAACCAACTTTGTGGTAGTACTGTAAACTCAATGCTGTGGACCTATTTTGGCGCCAAATAAACGGGTTTTTGCTGTGATTTTACCTGCTTCTGGCTGTTTCAAAATGTTTGATATTTCATGACTCATAGTCATAGATTTGGGTTACAATATAAAAGTACAAAACATCCGGGACTAATTTAGAAACTGGTTATTAAATTATTAATAGTCTCGATTAGGCAGTTAAGTTACTATGGTTTTTATCACAAATAAGCGTGATTTTTAAAAGAATCATTTAATTGTAAAACATTCTCAAATAGTGATTTTTTTCTGTAGGCAGTCAAAACGTGTATCAACATATTAAAAAGAAACACGCATACTAATTGTTTTGTAGTTTGTGAATTTGATTTTAGCTGAATAATCAGGTTGTTCGTGCAAATAAATAATGAGGAAAGAAGTAAAAAGTCTTACGGTGACAAAGCCCCTGTCCCATGGTGGCTCTATATAAGACGGTTGTTTTCCCGTCATCATCAACAGCGTCTAGCAAATTAAATATAAAATCCAGTCAATAATTTAGATCTATCAATAAATAGAGCAGTTCACAAGTTACACATCACTACTTTTATCCTCGTCGTTTGTTTTTCTCAAGATAAGTCAAGTCTTTTCTCTATTTAAAATGCAATCTTTTTATCTATTGACTTTCAAGAATGACATTCGTTTGTTTTCTATTGCAAAGTAAGCTCTAATTAAATAAATCTATACACATTTTTATAGGTTATTTTGATTTGTGCCTAGCAACCGCCATCAACGAGGAAACAATGAGCGTTTGTTACACAGATCTTGTTTGATTTTCAATGCAGCTCGAGTGGTTTGGCTGATAAATTAAGTACTTGATGAAACACTATATATAGGCCTGTACATGTAAACAGATATAGGCACACAAATGTTATTTCATCTTCGATCTGTGAACGATAACAATCATCTCAGTTTACACGCTTTATGAACTTGAAGATCGCTAAATTTTGTAGTTGTGATGGTTAATTGTAAATTAGGTTTATCGCAAATTTAAGATGCTTATTAAAAACAAGATAAACACAATCTCTACACAAAAAGCATGAAAGGAAGCAAAGTGTTGTAAATTTAGTGTTATTTTGTTGGGAAAAATAGATTAATTGCCAAATATTGCTCTGGGAAAATTGATACTAAATGATTTATATGACAATTTTAAAATCTGCCTGGTATTTTCTGAACAGAAAATGTAGTGTTACATAAATAAGTACGTCGTCCTTAGGGCGTTAATAATATATGAAAAGAGTAAAATGGAGACGATGAACAAGATTCTTCATTCCACTTTAGAAGTTACTGGTTTTTAAGAAACAATTGTAAACAATGTGTATATAGTAGGAAACAAAAAGCATAACTATGACAAACTTGTCGAATTCTTTTTTTAAGGATTTATCACAGGGGCTTAAAATTCTATCAATAATCGGTCTAAAGTCCGATTAAAAAAATTCCATACCTATATATTTTTATATATAGGTATGGATTTTTTAAAAACCAGACTTTAGAGCGATTGTGGATTTACCATCAATGTAATTCTAATAAGAAAATAAGTTTGAATTGTATGCACTGCAGTATGTTGATATAGGGGTATCTATCAACAAAACTTCATTTAAATTCTAATTTATTTTTCCCCTCTCATTTGATAGAATTGAAAAGTACGTAGATTAAATAAACATGTAAAAACTAATAAATTACGATTCTTTAAACAACAAAAAAAATCTATAAAAAATATAAATAAAAAAATACATGTAAAATAAAACATGTGCGACAGGTATAAAAATGCACTTTTAAAGATATAAAGGGCAATAACTCCAGAAAAATGCAAAGTAAAATAACCGTTCTTGAACGATAAACTTCGTATCAAACCTTCTGTAGTCTTATACTCTGGCATGCAAAAATAACAAACGGAAATATACCCCAAAAATAATGTAAAATGTTTAATTTTTCAGTGAGATCTATCCACCAGTAAATTGTCAAGATGATACCGGAGTCCCCGAGGTATCTGTCTGTAGTCTATGTTGAACGACGGTCCATCCGCCCGTTACGGCGCAGACAGTATAGCTTTCCTTATCTAGCACGGACCCCAGACTTGTCACCAGTCTTGCCCTCAAATGCATAAAATGGCGTTATTTTACCTCCATGCAATTTCCACGGAGTATTATAATTAGCCATAGATAAGAATTTCGAAAGAATCTCACTGTACAGGGGATAATGGGCCCTAAACGTACAGTAGCACGAGACAGTATGAAAAGGTGAGATAGCCCTGAAGAGCGACACCGTTCAAACCGCCTCTTCGTGGTAGGGGGGTAACGCAGTCTAATGTCCTTTCTCGTCGATTCTGCTAATTGTGTAGGTTCACTAGACAACACATTGATCAGCGGCTGGTCCCAGTATACAAGTTCTGGTTTTCTTTCCCGCTGTCCCAATTTCTGTAAATCTTCTGTTTATGTCCTGTCCCATCTCCACGACTTACACGTATACCGAGGGGATGGAGGGGAAGAGAAGTCCCGGAGTTATGGTCGGGGAAAAAATAAGTACTTAAATTATAAATGGCGCTAAAAAGTTACGGTTTTGTATTCAAAATGAGCTGGTTTGTTGAAATTTAACTTGGATGGGGCGCGCAAACAGTAAATGTGTTATTCTAATAAAGCTTTATTTTTGTCACTAAATACTATACTGGTGTGAAATCTCGGTGCATACAAAGAAAAAGGTTGATTTGAATCTTCAACTCCCAGACGCACACACTTTCCGCCTATGTAATCGTTGGAACATGTTAGATCTGAGATTTAATCTGTAAGAAATGCCAATCAAAAAAGACAATGTCTTTTTTTTCTGAAAGTTGCATGCATAAAATAATCTCTGATTTCGAAATTATCTCTACTGGATGATAGGTGACATTGATTTTTTTTCTTTTCCGGCGAGAACCATTGCACGAGAAATCGTGAAGCTACCTATTACCGTGAAATTAATTGTTTCCCAAAGTTCTTGTTTATGACAGGAACATTATTAAATAAGCGACTGGCGTGTAATTTCGACAGAAAATAAAATATTTAGTGTGTGACAAGGGAGTAAATCGCTCGCAGAGATTATTATTTCGGAAATTGATTGAATAAAGATTTCACGAGACGATGTTACGAAGTCAAGCCGGTAATATAAGTGTTAGTCTATATCCCTGAAAAGCAGCAGCGGATAAATATCTGAATTTCATATCAAATTAATGTCGCAGGATTCTCTTCTTCAGCTAGCATGGATTTAATTATTTGTAAAACGTTTCCTTTATGGTATGAAGAAAACATCATGGAAGGTTTATAAAAAGAGATTTTAAATAGCTACACAATGTTGATTATAACACTTATCTCGTGCATTTTGCACGTGCTGAATGGCGAACAATATTTAAATCGTGATTGTCGGTATGAGTTTAATGTGTGGCAACCCGACGCTGACGAATTGCAACGCATGCGTACATTAGAAATACAATACGCCAACTTTTCAAACTACATTAACAAAGAACTTTTGCTCGTGCAGGTACAACGTGCCAGTGATCTCGATGTATACCGAAACTGGACGATAATGTATGACAAATCACTGATGGAATTAAAAACGGAACAATTACAAAAATACGTGGAACTTCAAGAACTTAGAGTAAAAGTCGGAATTTACGAAATAAAATTGGAAGAGATGAAAGAAAAATTCGAGGATTCAAAATATCGTTCAGCGACTCATAGATCTGGGCGCAAGAAACACGTGCGAAAAGACAGAATGTTACCTACATACGGTTCTCAATCAGACACGCCCAGAGAACAACTGCTTGATAGCTTGAAAAACATGGTTACTGACCTGAAAGCTGAATGGATCCTTCTGAAGCGAGAATTCATAGATATGAGAAGTGATAATAAGAATTTACACAGAGTCCAAAACAGTTTGTATAACTCCAGCGAAGCGTGTCACACAGAGACCAGCCAGCTGCGAGAATTATATAGACTTCTTGGACAGACGGACAGGAGAATAGAAAGCGATATAGAGGGTATACATTTTAAAATAGAGCATCTGAGCCAAGATCTGAAGTCTATTAAGTCGGCCCAAGAGACAGTGAAAAGTGATGTCTTGTCAGCCGAGAATGGACTGTCGGCACTACAGGCCTCCTCGATGGTAATGAGTGAAAAACTGTCGGTTATACAATCGCAGATGGAGCCTAGCATTCAACCCTCGCGTGGTGCTGTCCAAGATAGTAAACTTGGCCATGTAGAAATAGGAAAAACTACAAATCTGACACCCAATAAAATACCTAAAGGTAAGTACTTATCGTTTTCTTCTGGTCGAACATGTTATTATAATTGTCTGTAACTCTTTGCACATCCCCTGAATGTCTCCGGAAAATAGCGACATTTCAATTTAGAAAGTATTTCGTGCGTCCAATGCTGCAAATAACATTCGTGTTCGTAAGAAAGTTGTAAATTTCTCAAAATGTTAATTTTATTAAGTAGACAAGTAAATTTTTATCTACTTAAGAGAATGTGTTTACGTATTATAAAAATGTGGTGCAAATATTCATTTATTTATGTAATATGTCAAGATGGTCAATCGGCCTGGTAATGGTCCGAATTGAAAACTACCAACACCAACACTGCCCTCTTAGCCCCGATTCGAGCGTATTCAATTTTCAATACTAGAAGTTATGAGATCTATGATCCCGAAGGACCTGAAAAAAACCTTGATGCCTTCTACTCTCTCAAATCATCTCGACTTTATGCTTTAATCCCAAAACACTCACCACTGAATTAAATTCACCACACTGAAGATGATCGACGTCATTTCGACGTATATATGTGTTGAATGCAAATTTGATTAAACCTGTCAAATACTCGTTATATGCATTAGATCGGAGGCTTGGCATTTTTTAAAGATCTTGATCAAGTTTATTTTATTAACGATTTTATTTTTTTTATTTGCGCACCAGCCATATCACTGTTGATTGTGGGGTATACAGTGAACCGGCAAAATTCCCCCCATGTTCTTCTCGCTGCGGGTTTATTTTGGCGCCATGGCATATACCAGTACTCGCAGAGTTAAGCATTAACAAGAGATTTGAAAATTAAGTCAAATGTCTTGCTATTCCCCGTATGTGGGGTTGGTTTCAATTTTACTTGGGCATTATTATAACATATTTTTTGAAATATTATTGTGTTATTTTTAGAGGAAATTTTAAGTCTTGTAACCGAGATATCAGTGCGAAGCAGAGTAAGATTTAAAAAGAATGCTTTTATGTATTTAATGTATAGGTGGTCAACAGCTAGAGGTATACGTGCACTTAAAATAGCTGGCTTGTGTATCAATCTTATACCTAAATAGAATAGATGTGGGGAAGTTGGGAAAGATGTGACGAGAAAATTATTTCTTTAACAATAAAACTCACTACATTAGTCCTAAAATGTCAGTTTTCTGTTTATCAGACGTATTGTGATATTTCGCTGATCACTATTTTTTATGTTGTTAATTGATAATCGATTGTGAACACTGAAAAAAATTCTTGTTATTGGAAGATTGGTAGATTTATAATATCAAACGGGAATGCGACACATTGCAGTACAGATTTTAATTTCCATACTTGTTCTTGAAGTGTTTTTAGACTTATTGATAGCCCTTCGTTTGTGCATCGCATTGTTTACGTAAAATAATCATAAAAACATAGTCACGTGGATACGTTAATGTTTAAAATTACTTGAGTAACATGATTTTCTTCTCAAAAGTACATTTTCTAAGGTGTGGGGGCATTAAATATCTTTGCATTTGATGATATTTAACAAAGATGACTTTAAAAATTCTGTATATAAATAATTGACTGACAGTTGTTGTTGTTTGTAGATTGTGGTGATATCGTCGACCAAGGACATGTAATGAGCGGCTTGTATAAAGTAAAACCATCTGACAACATGTTACTAGATTATGTCTATTGTGAAATCGTCGACGGTGTCGGCTATACGGTGATACAGAGAAGAGCCGACGGTCTACAAGACTTCAGCAAGGGCTGGCTGGAATATAAGATCGGATTTGGTAACATGTATGGCGATTTCTGGGTTGGTAATGACTTTCTCCACGCCCTTACAAAAAACAATGAATATGGACTAACCATAGAAATTTGGGACTGGGAAGGGAACAAAACTTTTGCAAAGTATAATATCTTCACCATTGGAGACGAAGACAGTCGATATCGTCTGCACGTGAGTCGTTTCACAGGGGACGCTGGAGATTCTCTCACTTACCATGATGGAATGAAGTTCAGTACTGCAGACCACGACAACGATCTTTCTGACCGGAACTGTGCCGCAGATAATAAAGGTGGTTGGTGGTTTAGTGGATGTTACTTCAGTAATTTAAATGGCGCCTATCATATTGGCTGGTACTCGCCGGGTCAGTCGGCATTCGCGGACGGCACTGTTTGGTACACACTAAAAGACTCGGACATGTATTCGGTTAGAAAAGTTGTGATGAAAATAAATAAAGAAATATAGAATTGTTTTAACTTGAACAGCGGCGTCAGTGTAAAGTTGGCTATTGAGTATAATGATAGAACTTGTACATGCACTGTTTACTTAACTTTTGGTTGTGATTAATTTAGGTTGTAATCGCTCGAGACAGACTGAATTCAGACGCGATGCTTTAGTCTTTAAATGTGTTATTATATTTGTTCCTTTGACGTTATTTTTTTTCAAGATATAAACGGCCAATTTATATGAATAAAGCGAGGTTATATATTATGCTCACAAGAGGAGCTCTTTGTGGATTATGTACAGATTAGGATACCATCTATGCTGGGGATTATCAACTGTTACTAGCGTGTATTACTGTTTTATTGTTTGTTTTATTGAACGCATTTGTTTGTGTACATAAAATCCAATTTCATTCCTAGTTTTTGAGCAAAACTCAACTATTCTCCACTTTAAAATCACATCGTCTAAAAATCAAAAGGTCTAGATGTAATTGCTTAATGTACCGTATTGAAACGCATAATACAACAAAGATGTACTGTGTTAACAGTTTGTCCCACACAGATTTCCGTACTCCTACAAAAAATGACAGTTAATCCTCGGAAACAAACACACTCAAAATTGTTTTTTTCTAACAACGTGAGGTATTTGTTCGTTGTTAAACTGACTTCTAACCCTAACCCTAAACTTACTTTAATGCGTTCTTACACGTAAAACCCCAGTCACACTAGAGCTTACGATTACTTGCGACCACCGGCGACTTGTAAATCTGACGATCATCAGCGATTGTCTCCGACCAAAACCCTTGACAATTGACAATCGCACGACAAGTCATAAGCAAACGTACGATGGTCTCAAGTTTGTGTGGGATTACTTACGACTACCAGTGACCTGTCATGCGATCACTTACAACTTGTCCTACGACCCTCGCACGATAACTCAAGGTTACTCAAGATTATCAGTGACTAGTGGTAATTTGTAAAGACTGTCGTAAGATTGTCGCACTTCCGAACGACGATCGTGCGACAGCCTTAGACCTAATACGATCACTAGCGACCTGTTTGATCGCAGGGAGGTTTTTGTGCAAGCTCAAAAACCTCTCTACGACTGAAATTGGTCGTGGGACCTAAATAAGATAACCTGCGACTGTCAAAGATCACCGATGACCGTCATAAGACGTTTCAAAAATTGCCCGCGACCAAAGGTCACTGGTGATCGTAAACTGGTCTTCACTGGTCGTAAGCTCTAATGTGACTGGGGCTTAACCTAAACTTGTCTATGCAATCTTAGCCAAAACCTAATATGACTCTAGGAGGAAAGGTTAAAGTTCCGAGGTCTGTCTCACAATGTAGGTGAAACACACTAACCACTGACCTCGGTAAGTCAGGTTAACCGGAGCACACACACACGCACACGCGCTCGCGCATGTACAAGGGAATTCTGCCTTGATACAGAAGTGATATTGCATAGTCCAGCGTCTACAGTCGTCAATATTTGTGAAACCAGTCAGATTTACTTCAAATTGCTGTGTAGCAATATATAGTACTACATTTAGCCACATCAGATGGAAGACTATTATACATTGTCTTATCATGAACTAATAAAGTGAGCACTAACAGCAGTAGTCTATGGCATCCTTGTGATAGACTGACCCCCTTTAATTTCAGTTGAATAAAGCAGTACAATGTATCAGAATTTAACTGAATTTGCACTGTATATCCCATTTAAGGTAAAAGAAATAACAAGTTTATTTCCATTTTGTTTTTATTGTACTATTTCAGAGAAAACAATGGTTGACAAAACAACTAGGTGTTAAGCAGATATATACATAAGCTAATTATTGCAAAATGATGATTTTTTTTAAATTTGTTATATAACAAAAAGATGGGAGTAAAATTGATAAAAGATCCTCAACTATTAGGCTTGAATAAAAAATGGGAAAACGAGGTAACAATCTGGCCTCTTGAAATAAAAAAAATGTTTCCTGATGAATTTTTCCTGGAACCATAATTATATATACTAATATAATTGAAATGCCTGTGTATACATGATTTGACAATTTTAAAATATTTAGTTTGCATTTTTATTTATAATTTAAAAAGCGAGTCAAGATAATAAAAATTGACACTTTTTGTTTGTGAAACTTGAAAGATCCACTGACAAACCTCTGAAATTATGAAATGCTAGTCTCTATGGAGTATTGTCTTATTTTTTTAATTTTATTTATGTATTTAACACACATGGTCACTAAATGTATGATATGAAAGTGCTACATTTATATCCATGTGAAATCAGCATTTATTGAAATTATACACAATTACTTTGATTTTAGACAAATCTTGCAATGAACATTGGTTAAATGTCATGTCTGCAGTGGAAGTAAGTAGTGCTTTTTTATATTAGAAATATCTTGTCTATTCTAATATTTTAAGAAATCTAATTTGATAAGAATATTTAAAAAAAAAAAACGTGCCCTATTTTTTTTATTAAAAGCAACATGGAGTGACAATAACATGCCTAAATCTACAGTAACAATAAAAACAATAAAAAACCCTTACAAACAGTCAGGTACATGACTTTTTTTATATAAAATGTATATATACACAATTCAAAAGAGAAAAAAAATATAATGTGGAACATCTGAATGATTTTTCTGTGCTATGAAACATCTAATTATGTGCCATATTTCTTATTTCATGCCAGTCAACGAAACACTGTATCCTGTCAGTGAAAATATAAACTGTATTTTTCACTGTATAACATCTTTAGTCGTTGTAAAACAAATTTCATCAAATAACATGGAATAAAAAGAAAAAATGTTTTCTATGAATATAGAAAAGATATAAACATATCTCACTTTAAAGGTAAATATTTCACTGGCATGTCATGCTGGTGAAAATATTCAAAATTCCTTAAAATTTCAGTGAGATATTATCAAAATCAATTCCAAATCATAAATGAAATACCCTTCTCAGTCCGGGAAATATATGTACATACTCCACTGTTCACAATTATAAGTACACACTAAACAAACAGTTTACTATACCAAAGTAAATATTAACAAGGGGAACAAACAATAAATGTACTTCATATATTGGCAGCCATTTTGTTTCGATTTCAACAGGGGGGACAATTGTAAAGAACATAAAGACTATACCCTGTGGAATGAAAAAAACATATATGCATACACAATGTAAAATTATACATATACAATGTAAAGTTAAGTGTTCATCCTTTACAAAGTCAAAACTGTTGCTGTCAATTTTATATGAGCCGTGCCATGACAAAACCAACATAATGGGTTTGCAACCAGCATGGATCAAGACCAGCCTGCGCATCCACGCAGTCTGATCAGGATCCATGCTGTTCGCTTACCAACTCTATTACAAGTAGAGAAACTGATAGCATGGATCCTGATCAGACTGCACGGATGCGCAGGCTGGTCTGGATCCATGCTGGTCGCAAACCCACTATGTTGGTTTTGGCGTGATGCAGCTCATATCAGTCTTAGGTAATTTACAAATTTCAATCATTGTCAACATCGGTCCCTCTTTCAATCTGGGTCCTTACATTTTTATGTCTAGGAATTTTGAGATCAAAATATTTAAAATGAGCACCCATTAATGTTGGGTAATTCAGATTTTAAAAACACTCTTATATAAAATTAAATGATCAAACAAGCTGTTGTATGCCCTGAATTATTCCAATGGTAGTTTTTGTTTGTTTGTTTTTTTTACACTGACACATTACTGGTCCTACTGCCCCAAATGCAAGTTTTTAGCAGAATATTTAATATAAATAATGTTAATGAAACATGTAAACCTGTATCTTTTAGATAAATACCCAAAGATATTTAAATACCCATTGTTATTTAATATTTTAACACCGAAAGATTGTATAAATATCGAAATCTTAAAATATCCAAAGTATATGTAATCAATTTATATTTTATCTGCACCTATGCCTTATATAACTTTACTGACACCTAAAACTTAGCCATTTCTTATATCTTAGATGTAGACTGGTCTAAAAAAATGGCTAAAAAAAGATTTTTAACCTATTTTACTTCATAAAATTTAATTTGAAAATAAGAAACATGGACATAGTCTACCATGTGCAAAACAACAACATCATTGACAATATAAATGTATATGTAACAAATATAAGCCACGTCACGACAAAACCAACATAGTGGGTTTGCAACCAGCATGGATCCAGACCAGTCTGCGCATCCGCGCCGTCTGATCAGGATCCATGCTGTTCGTTTTCAGTTTCTCTACTTGTTATACTGTTTGTAAGCGAACAGCATGGATCCTGATCAGACTGCGCGGATGCACACGCAGGTCTGGATCCATGCTGGTCGCAAACCATCTATGTTGGTTTTGTCGTGACGCGGCTCAATTATAAGCATTTTACACAATAGACCCTAAGCAATAAAACCACTAAATAAAATTATAATAATAAAAAAAGATAAGATAAAAAAGATACAAATTACATTATATGGAAATAAAATAATCTCTATGCAATAATGATTTCTTTTTGTGCATTTAAAAATAGAATGTTATTTGTATTAATCAATGAGCATTTTGTCTTTACAACCTTTTAATAAAGGGACAGTGTGGAGGACCCTGGAGAAATGCGAACATATGAGAGGCTAGGAATCCAGATATACAGAAAACACAATCATATTATTTTTAGTGGCAATTAATTTTTATCATTTGTTTTCCACCAATCTAGTCACTTCTGCAAGATTTTTTCTGTTGCTGTTGTAAAGTTACCACCATAATTATTCACTTACTCAAAATACTAAAGTAAAGTTGGAAACTTTACAAGATCTGTTAGCTTATAAAAAAATACTCATTTTCAGGTTTTATTTGAACATTATTAATGCACAATATTTATGATGCCTTTTAAGTGACTCTTAGGTCCTGCTAATTGGGAGTTTCTGTAATGTATTGTTGATTGTAAAAGATAATCAATATGTTGATATAAACATATAAAATCTGGGTAATTTACTGGCCTATCTATACTGATGGGAGGAAAAAATTGTTATATTTAGACTGTGCAAACACGATGAACGTATTTTCTGTTTACATTTTATTAATAATGTGTTTTTGTGTTGTCTTTACATATGGATCTACCTTCTGTATTAATTTCACGTCACAAGATTCTCCTCACTGAGGAATAAAAAAGATAAAATCTTTCCTTAACAGTAAAATAAGTCTAAAGCTTATATATGATTATTATGTTAAAATGATATACACATATATATACAAGCAGCACCACATACTTATTCACAATACTAAAATATCTTAACTATTGCAACAAAACATTTGTTCTCTTCTTCACAATCTGATCAAGGGAAATGACTCTTAATTAATATGTAAGTCTATGTCATCAACATTTACCTCCCTTGGTACTACATCAAGCATGGCAAAAGTAATGACTACAGTGCCTTCTCTTCACTTACATGATTATGTATTTTTCATGAAATCACCTAGAGCTACCCAGTATATCATTTTCAGACTAACATTGACAATGCTTTGATAATTCTAAAATCATATACTATACCAATCAGAAATTAGATATAATACCTAACTGATGAGTGAATACATTTAATGAAATTAAAAATAATTATACAAGTGATTTTTTAAAAAGAGATTCAATCAGCATAAAATTTATATGTTTATTTATGATGATGGGTAATTTCTCAAATGTTACACAGATATTTTCAAATGGAATTCATGTAGTAATAAATCATTGAAAACAATTAAACATTGCAATTCTATTTTACTTTAAACACAACGTCTCTTAAGGATTTTTTTGTAAAACCAGTAGTTGTGGATGTATGATTTAGTGTTTTTTTTAATGAAATAGTAAAAAAAGAAAATACAAAACACAAAATTTAACTGACACCCTCAATTCTCAGATGATCATAATTAAAATACAAATGAAGCTCTATGTATGCAGTCTGCTTTATACAATGAGGTTTTCATTAAATTCTTTTTCGTTTGGTTAAAAGTCATACAGTCACAGTAATGTTTTAAGCTATCTACAATGTTTACTGGTACAGGAAGACCTCTACTGCCCCTCTGTGCATTACGTCAGGCACAAACAGGTATCCCAGTAAAACAAGACCTTTGGTAAGCTAGCTGGATATCACCCTTACTTGACAAAACTCACAAGTCACTTGCCACATTTGAACCCACAGCTGTCAAAATCAGGTGCTTCAAAGACAGCAAGTGACTTTAACAACTCTGCCATAAGGAACCCATTTTCCAATTTAGGATTTCAGAAAATTCAACTGCCCGTACACAGGGAAAATGAATTACCAAACCATCTGGTGTTCACTTTTTAACAGAACCTCTTCATGATGTTGGGAGTTTATTTTGTTTACTCCCATGCAAACATTTATAAAGAAGACATTAAACATACATAATCTTTCATCATCTTTTATCTACCGGTAACACTTTTAGACGACTTAAATGAAGTAAAGAGTATACACTGCCTAAAAGTAAAACTTTATGAAATTTCAATCATAACTTCATTCTAATATCAAACATCAATAAACATGTACAACATATATCTGGATTTTCTAACTGTATACTGTAATGAATGAATGAAAACTATGTATACAACAGTCTAAAAAAAAACAGGTCATCAAAATTTGTAGTATTTATCTAATACTGATTTTGTGAAATCGTTTTGTAGGCGTAGAAACATGTAGAAATCCAAAAATATAATAAATATATATATTTAGAAATACCAAAGTGTTCATATGCTCAAAGTAATTACTAATATACAAAATATTTATTCATGTAGATCTACTTAAAGAAAAATATAAAAAGACTACAGAACATGTTACTCTATATAACAAGAACCACTGCTGAACAAGGACCATGCTCTCTATATAACAAGAACCACTGCTGAACAAGGACCATGCTCTCTATATAACAAGAACCACTGCTGAACAAGGACCATGCTCTCTATATAACAAGAACCACTGCTGAACAAGGACCATGCTCTCTATATAACAAGAACCACTGCTGAACAAGGACCATGCTCTCTATATAACAAGAACCACTGCTGAACAAAGGCCATGCTCAACATTTTTCTTATTTAACGATAGAACATTGTTGTAAAATGGTTTCAAAAACATATTTTTGTCAACAGAAATGAGTTAAAATTTCATATTTGACCTTGACAGTAAAGGTCATTTACAGATCAATAGATCAATGTACATAGTTGTGTCTAAGTGGGAAGACAATCCATTCATTATAACAAAGTTTTACCCAATTTGTAACCAAAATCGAGCAATATTGAAAAATTTGACCATGAAGGTCAAGGTCATTTGTGAGTAAAGGTCAAGTTCAGTCCCATCAACTTGAAGGTCTTGTCCAAACAGTTGTCCAGTTATGAAGGCAGTCCAGTGAGAAAAAATAAAATAATGGCCAATGTTTAAGATTTCAAACTGCAACAACAAGATGCATGACCTCATCCACAACATGGACTCCGCTTCTAAAGAAATAAAAATAAATGATACAAATAAACCCAGTGAAATAATAAAGGAGTCCGACTTCATTCACTTTTTTGTAAAATGCATCTTCTACAGCACTAAAGATACATTATAAAACAATAACCTTTTTTTATTAAACTTATTCTCAGATTTCAATTCCATGTTTAAAAATAATATTGACTTTCCAAAGTAGTTTTATATTTCCTATTACCTCCCTTTTAATTTGTTCATTGTATTACCTTCCTTTCAAATATATACTTTCTGTTATTTCCCTTTTTATGTTTCTTTTTATTATATGGACTTTTCATTTCACCCCTTTCTTATTTAATTCTGCTTTTTACCACACAAATTCTGCTACTTCTTTGAGCTCTTAAGGTGTAAAATTTGATATACATGTACTGTTATCTCTTTTCCAGCTATTTAACACAGATTATTTTCTTTAATTAGACATTTAATTCAATATTCACTTCATCACAAAACTTATATAATCAAAGAACAAAATGTTAAGATGTAAAAAAAGGTTTAAAGAGCAAGACTATTTTCTACACAATCTTTCATTACCTAAGCTAATACCTTTTTTATAGCAATCATATTTTAATTGTAAAATGAAAATGTTTTTTTGTACAGCTATTCACAGACAAAACAACAGTTATGTTAATGCAAAAAGTATGAGGAGACCTTCCAAGAACATAAACATGTACAATGTATTTGAATGTTATGTAACTTTTCAGATTAAAGATTTTCTACATACCCGATCAAAAAGGTTGATACCAGTATGATTCAAGTGTGAGAGAACATAGACCATTCCTTTTAAACATAATACAATCTAGTTTTAACTGACAATAAATAAAAATATTAATACATTCTTGATGTGCTAAATGATCAAACTCCTGATTGCTTTGAAACAATGAATGCAGGTCAATGTAAAGGTCACCAGACTGGTTTTAATAACAAATTTAGGTCAAAGTAAAGGTCACCAGACTGGTTTTAATAATGAATTTAGGTCAATGTAAAGGTCACCAGACTGGTTTTAACAATGAATTCAGGTCAATGTAAAGGTCACCAGGCTGGTTTGAAATTATGAATTTAGGTCAATGTAAAGGTCATCAGACTGGTTTAAATTATGATCTTAGGTCCGGGTAAAGTTCATCACTAGCAGCGCCCTCTGTTACATTATCTCCTCCATTCCTCTTTCCTTCATCCATCTCTCCTAGCTCCACCTCAATCATATTGTGTTTGTCAATTTCTGCCAGCTCTGCTTTCGACAGGTGAGCCACTACAGCTGCACCATAGCTGTCCCCTAGCACATTTACAGAGGTTCTTAATCTGTCCCTAATGGTGAAATAAGTAGAAAAAAAAATCAAACAGGTTAAATCAAATCAATGAGTTAGAGAATCACATGCCAAAATCAGATGAAAACTTCAATAATTAACTGAAATCACTACAAATCCTTCATGGAAAACAAATTGTGTAACAAATTTTGTAGTACTTCATGGAAAAACAAAGAAAGCTGTAGTGCACTTTGAATATCAAGGTGAAAATTTGAAGTTTGTTAGCCAAAAGCATAGAGTCTAAATCCCTGCAAAGATGTGCATGCTGGCTGGCTGGCCTGGTAGCAAGGTTGTTCCAGCATTCTTAAGAATAAGTGAGCTCCTACAGTTGAGTTCACACTAAACTTCCCACCCTTGTGCACTTCTAGTGCACTAGAGCTGAACTAGAAGTGCACACCAAGTGCACTTTGTGCAATCTTTAGTGTGAACTCAACTGTGTCTTACTTTATTACAAATTTACTTTTTTTATATTATATCTGCATACACTGCTGTTTACAGAATAATGTTATGTAGTTATCAGTTAAATTAATAAATCATATAGACAGATAGATCAAATAACATCTGTTCTAATAATCACATCATGATCTATTGAATAACCTTTTCATTATACATATATGCAGCACTTTTTTACATTTAATTACATCATCATCTATTTTTCATAGAACAATCTGCTCCTTAGATCACATGTCATTATGAAAACAGATGTATTGAAACACAAAAATATCACTGTCATATTTATGGACAGACAGACAGACAGGACCAACTTTTTACCTTAAGTAGAGGTGGTATCATAATCATTACACTTAGAAAAACTATTTATTTCAAAAATTTACAATTCAATTTACAATATACAAAAATAAGATCTGCCAGAAAGAATAGCCATAATATTTATAAGTGTGATTCTGAATGACTTAATGTGAAAAGGTTTAAGTAGATTAATGTATCATAAAAGAGCCATTATCAAGATTCTTTATCTATGTCTTATATTTGGCATTAATGTATATAACTAGAACAGATCATACGAGCCTTGGATAAAACTAAAAAAAAGCCTTTTGATATCAGTCATAAAAGTAAAACTGTCATATACAGTATGTCTTTATACTCTTGTGTAGTGGGTGATTACAAGTGATTTTTCATAACAGTTACAGTAACACTGTTAAAGCTGGTAATATTTTCCTATGTACTTTGTTATAATTGACAGATGGTCTTTAGCTCAGGGTTAGCTGTACTGATTATACATTTTCTGAACACTCACTAACCTGATCTGTGCAATTAATTACAAATTTTTACTCTAGTTTGCTCACAAATAATCTAGGATAATCTGCCTTTAATTTAAATATAATATGTGATAAAACACGGATGCTTCAAAATAAATTGGTAAGACCCAGCATGAAAGGAATGCTTAATTAATATAATGAGTTTTACACCAGGCTCTATAAATAGTCCCAACACTTAGCTCACTGCAACTAAGTTATTATAAAGTAAGTACAATAAAGTTAGTATAAAGTAAGTACAATAATATAAAAACTTACAAGAACCAGTCTACTGCCAGAATGAGGCTGACATCTTCTACAGGAAGTCCAACAGATGTTAGAACCATCAACATGGTAACCAGTCCAGCACTAGGAATGGCTGCAGCACCTATAGCAGCACAGGTCGCAGTCAAACTGTAATATATAATCATTTTAACTTCATATTCTATAATATAAACTTAATTAAAATCAAATATAGTTTCTTTACATTTAAAGCAAACCAACTTTAAGTAATATGAAATCTCCAACTAAAGAACAAATGTCCTACAAGGAATTACATAAGACCTGTACAAGCAGACATCTTGGTAGAACAACCTAGAGTAAGACAGCCACCGGGCTTCCTGAAATGAATGTATATAACATAACAAAGTAGATAAAACCCATTGCAAAAACTTCAGATAGTAGAATTAAATATTCCTGTCATGACTTAACATATACGGCAGTAAAAGTATGGTAACTAGGCCATTGTGTACTTTCTGTCAAATTTTGTTTTCAATCTCCATGCAGGCAATGCACAGAAGAACTTACCTACAGCAAACTATTTATGAAATGATTGTGTACTGCCTGCCTTGTGTTGTACATGTAATCAGGAGCTATTGCAATACTAGTATTCTAGCTCAAAGTTAGTAACATTTATCAATTGGTATAAATTCTAACCATCCAAATCAGCTAGACAGCTCAAAACTTTTAGAATCAGTCAAATATCTTGTTTGTAATACCTTTATACTAATGAAAAACATATCTTTCACAAGTTTTATTCCATAATGGAGAAACCTGTTTAAACCAAAGAATTGCCAACAAAGCAATATCAATAACTTGACACAAATACTGTTCATGTAGAGATATTTGATAAACATGTATACTATCATAATGAAAACCAATGATCTTCTCACCTGTTAGCTCTTTAAAAAATCAGGACTAATTACATGGTCACTATAAATTAAATTCTCTGTCCTCAATGCTCACATAATGCAAAACCCTCTCAACAAACATCACTACCAAATCTTAAGTCAGAAGGCCAAAGTGTTTTTTATTCACTGAATGGACAATTTTTTGGTAGTGAAGTGACTTATTCATATAAAAGCCATTGTGTACTAGCATAGCAAATCTAGGCCAAAGCTTTTCTCTTGATGTTGGTCTGACAACTTCTGGTCAAGGCCACAGTGATCTTGACCTTTGGCCAACTGGTCCTCAAAATCAATAGGGACCAACCTCTGACTGTAGGTCAAAGCATTCTATAGTTACATGTATTTGCTAGACAAGCTCTTTGTGGTAAAGGCCACTGACTCGTACCTTTGCCCTCTAAATCAGATAGGTGCCAACTCCTAGTTCAGATTAACCTCCATAGCAAAATTGCACAAGCTTTTAATGGAAACAGCCATGGTGACTTTAACCTTGATCCTTGACCCATCTGACCTCAAAATCAATAAGGACCTCCTACTTGTCATGATGACTATAGGCCAGTGTTTTCTTATAATGGCTTGGACAAGAAGATGTGGTTAGATGGACAAATGCTGAGAAAAGCAAAACATATGCCCATTTCTTCAATTCTAAGGGAAGTAACTTGCACTAAACTTCAAATATATATATTTTACTTAGCAAGTTATCTTACCTGACAGTGAGAATCTGACCAAATGAGAGTTCTATACCATTCATCTGAGCAATAAAGATTGGTGCAACAGCCTCGTACAGTGCTGTTCCATCCATGTTGATGGTAGCACCAACAGGGAGCACAAACCTCGTCACACGCTTGTCTATTTTCATTGTGTCCTCCAAACACTGGAATGTCACTGGAAGTGTTGCCGAACTAAAATAACAGACTTAAATCATAACTTCAGTCTTATAATTCTTTAATACAACATAAACATACATTGATAAATAACTATTAATTATACTTTAAGAAAAACAGTCAATAATAATTTGAATCAATGCTGAACAAATATCCTATATATTCCTCATGAATTAACAATGAAAATAACTTGCAGTTTATCATTGTCATACATGTTTTTTTTTCTATAAATATTTCAAAATCTATTTATACACAAGCAAAAATTCTACATACACTGTATAAATAATGAAAAATATATTTGACTTGAATGAATTCTCTATAATTAGACTGCATACTATAATATCAGTGTAATAATGAAATTAAAATTACTCACACACTTTTAAACTGTTACAACTTAATAACAGATGTATATGCAGTATTTTTAAAGGAGAATGACAAGTTCATTTATACAACTATTTTACAAATCATTATCCAGTATTATTGGTATAACAAACTTTATGACAGCAAATTTTAAGGTTTTTACTTGTGATTACCTTGAAGCTGTAGCAAGGGCAGTAATCCATGCCTGGAAAACAGCTTTGCATAGTATCAGCGGACTTTTACGTGTGATGATAAAATATGTGAGAGGTAGTGATACAAGGGCGTGAACCCCAAGCCCTGCTACCACGGTAACAATGTATAGACCAAGACGTGCTGCAACAGCCTGAATATCTTCAAGTTCTAGAATCTTCCCACAGATCAAAAACATGATACCAAATGGTGAATACCTGAAAAATATTATATCAAATGGTGAATACCTGAAAAATATAATATAAAATTGTGAATACCTGAAAAATACTATACCAAATGGTGAATACCTGAAAAATATTGTATCAAATTGTGAATACCTGAAAAATAATTATACCAAATGGTGAATACCTGAAAAATATTATATCAAATGGTAAATACCTGAAAAATATTTATACCAAATGGTGAATGCCTGAAAAATATTATATCAAATGGTAAATACCTGAAAAATAATTATACCAAATGGTGAATACCTGAAAAATATTGTATCAAATGGTGAATACCTGAAAAATATAATATAAAATTGTGAATACCTGAAAAATACTATACCAAATGGTGAATACCTGAAAAATATTGTATCAAATTGTGAATACCTGAAAAATAATTATACCAAATGGTGAATACCTGAAATATATTATATCAAATGGTGAATACCTGAAAAATAATTATATCAAATGGTGAATACTTTCTGTAAATTCTTTTGGAAATATAAAAATGAAAAAAAAAACCTTCTGCAAAGGTTGATAATATAATACACTCAGAATTAAATTTAATATGGATTCTTGTGTGATTCTTAGCCTGATTTCAGTGAAAAGAGTTTTTTTCACTTTTCATTTATGTGTTATTTTTCACAATAAAAATGATTATGGTATTCTGGGAAAACAGGTAGAAGGAATGATCTGAAAATTTGCACATAATTTATCAAATGGAACAACATATTGGAAAAAAGAATTCAGTCCTATCATGTCACAAAACCTCAGTGGAGTAAGTCCCTTAAAAATTATTTAAAAAGTACATTTTGCCATTTAAGCCAACTGACATACAACTGGTGAGAATCACTGACAACACTCTGTTTCCTACATCACTCAATTTCTAGACTTAAGTCAGAGATAAAAACAGCACCATGAAATCTATTCTGCAAATATTCTCTGCAAATTGGGAACAATAACTTAAGTATATATAGGTCAGTAAATGTCTGTTATAGCTTGTATTTGTTGGAATTTTCTGCCAGATTTTTGCATGCTCTATCTCCCTATTGTCAAGAACATTTACGTGACTCTTTCAAAATTCACCACCAGCTCTGGCAGAATAATAAATAATTGATTTAAGTCAACACCAGCCAGACAAGAGAACTTAATTGCTTTTACGCATCCATATATCTTCATTTGGGTAAGAGAATATGTCTAAAAATAATTAAACATAACAAACTACAGCTTTATTTCACAATCATCTCAGTCAGAGCACTGCACTCGTCTATATGTATATAAATAATGATATTCCTTACTACAATATAAATAAAGATATTCCTTACAAGTATATATAAATAAAGATATTCCTTACTAGTAGATAAATAAAGATATTCCTTACTAGTATATATAAATAAAGATATTCCTTACTAGTAGATAAATAAAGATATTCCTTACAAGTATATAAATAAAGATATTCCTTACAAGTATATAAACAAGAATTTGTAACAGAGTTACCAACGTCCCCCGCCCCGGGAGTTTTATATGAAGCATAAAATTGTGCTATTTCAAAAGATTGAGGTATGGATCTCAGGACATTCAGTCCAAAATCATGATCAATGCTAGATCTGCAAATGTAACAATAAATTTGTTAAAAAAATAAAATGAAACACGGAATTTAAAAATCTATCATGTTAAGCTTTGACCTCTAAGTGTGAACTTGACCTTGGAGGTAGGGGAGCAGGTGTTGTGCATGACATAACGTCTTATTATTGTGACTATTTGTGCCAAGTTATTTCAAAATCCCTTGAACTATGAAGAAGTTCTAGATTCAACACAAAATATACCCTATAACAGACTATGTTAATTTTTTACCTCTAAGTGTGACCTTGACCTTGGAGGTAGGGATGCAGGTGTTGCGCATGACACATCCTCTTATTATAGTGACTATTTGTGCGAAGTATTTTCACAATCCTTTGATCTATGAAAAAATTATAGACCTGACACAAAATATACCCTGTAACAGACTATGTAAGTATTTGACCTCCAAGTGTGACCTTGACCTTGGAGGTAGGTGACCGGTTTTTGCGCATGACACATCATCTGATTATTGTTAACAATTATGGCAAGTATTTACAAAAGTCCTTCATAGATAAGAAAGTTATGGACTGGACACTACATATACCCTCAAATAGACAATGTTGACCTTGAATGAACAAGTACGACCTTGACCCAGAAGGTACGGGTCTGGTTGTTGCGCATGACACATCGTCTTATTATAACAAACATTTGTGCCAAGTTATCTCAAATTCCTTTGATAAATGACAAAGTTATGGACCGGACACGAAATATACCCTGTAACAGACTATGTTAATATTTGACCTCCAAGTGTGACCTTGACGTTGAAGGTAGGCAACTGGTTTTTGCACATGACACATCGTCTGATTATTATGAACAATTATGGCAAGTATTTACAAAAACCCTTCACAGATAAGAAAGTTATGGACCGGACACGAAATATACCCTGTAACAGACTATGTTAATATTTGACCTCCAAGTGTGACCTTGACCTTGAAGGTAGGTGACTGCTTTTTCCGCATGACACATCGTCTGATAATTGTGAACAATTATGGCAAGTATTTACAAAATCCCTTCATAGATAAGAAAGTTATGGACCGGACACGAAATATACCCTGTAACAGACTATGTTAATATTTGACCTCCAAGTGTGACCTTGACCTTGAAGGTAGGTGACTGGTTTTTGCGCATGACACATCGTCTCATTATTGTGAACAATTATGGCAAGTATTTACAAAATCCCTTCATAGATAAGAAAGTTATGGACCGGACACGACATATACCCTCAAATAGGCAATTTTGACCTTGAATGAGCAAGTGTGACCTTGACCCTGGAGGTAGGGGTCTGGTTGTTGCGCATGACACATCGTCTTATTATAATAAACATTTGTGCCAAGTTATTTCAAATTCCTTTCATAAATGACAAAGTTATGGACCGGACACGAAAGTGTGACGGACGGACGGACGGACAAACAGACGGAGCCTATTTCTATATAATAAAGATATTCCTTACTAGTAGATAAATAAAGATATTCCTTACTAGTTTATATAAATACATGTATAGATATTCCTTACAAGTATATATAAATAAAGATATTCCTTACAAGTATATATAAATTAAGATATTCCTTACTAGTAGATAAATAAAGATATTCCTTACTAGTATATAAATAAAGATGTTCCTTACTTGTATATATAGAAATAAATTCTTTGCTAGAATATAAATAAATTGCTTGAGAAAGATAAGAATGCAGATAAATGTGTCTTTTAGGACCTATTACTGAACACAAGCTATAAACACAGTATTGTTGTAATTTTGCCAGATACTAAAATTTTGAAGGTTCTAGAAACAAAGAAGTTTTAGTGAGTAAAAAATTTCAAGAACTAGTAACAGCATGGTTGCAATGGGCCCTCTATAATGAATTGAATCTCATCTTTACCTTTCAACAGTTTTTGCCTGACAGGCTACATTATCTGCCATCTGGGTGAATATACCTGCATGAAGTAAAGCAAAACAAACTGGCCCTTCTTTGAATTTGGGACTGTACATTGTTATTTTAAGAGATAAGATTAATGAATATTTTAAAAGTAAGAGGCATCTAGTTAATGTAAGACACAGAAAATCTTGTTTTGATTAAGGTACATAAAATTAATAAGGTCAGTCAATTTTTTTGCATCACTATGCATCACTCCCCTACAATAAAAGCTTTATGGAGATAACAGACTTACTACATAACAAGAGCAATCAGTTTGAAAAGGAGATAACAGACTTACTACATAACAAGAACAATCAGTTTGAAAAGGAGATAACAATTACAACAAGACAAGGACAATCAGTTTGAAAAGGAGATACTGACTTACTACTTGACAAGAACAATCAGTTTGTAAAGGAGATAACAGGCTTAATACATGACAAGAGCAATCAGTTTGAAAAGGAGATAAAGGACTTACTGCATGACTAGACAGGAGATAAAGGACTTACTACAACACAAGAACAATCAGTTTGAAAAGGAGATAACAATGATACTTACTACATGACAAGAGCAATCAGTTTGAAAAGGAGATAACATACTTACTACATGACAAGAGCAATCAGTTTGAAAAGGAGATAACAGACTTACTACATAACAAGAGCAATCAGTTTGAAAAGGAGATAACAGACTTACTACATGACAAGAGCAATCAGTTTGAAAAGGAGATAACAGACTTACTACATGACAAGAGCAATCAGTTTGAAAAGGAGATAACAGGCTTACTACATGACAAGAGCAATCAGTTTGAAAAGGAGATAACAGACTTACTACATAACAAGAACAATCAGTTTGGAAAGGAGATAACAGGCTTACTACTTGACAAGTACAATCAGTTTGAAAAGGAGATAACAAACTTACTACATGACAAGAACAATCAGTTTGTACAGGAGATAACAGACTTACTACATGACTAGAACAACCAGTTTGAAAAGGAGATAACAGACTTACTACATGACTAGAACAATCAGTTTGAAAAGGAGATAACAGACTTACTGCATGACAAGAACAATCAGTTTGCTAAGAGATAACAGACTTACTACTTAACAAGTACAATCAGTTTGAAAAGGAGATAACAGATTACTACATGACAAGAGCAATCAGTTTGAAAAGGAGATAACATACTTACTACATAACAAGAGCAATCAGTTTGAAAAGGAGATAACAGACTTACTACATAACAAGAACAATCAGTTTGAAAAGGAGATAACATACTTACTACATAACAAGAGCAATCAGTTTGAAAAGGAGATAACAGACTTACTACATGACAAGAAGCAATCAGTTTTGAAAAGGAGATAACAGACTTACTACATAACAAGAGCAATCAGTTTGAAAAGGAGATAACAGACTTACTACATAACAAGAACAATCAGTTTGAAAAGGAGATAACAGACTTACTACATAACAAGAACAATCAGTTTGAAAAGGAGATAACAGACTTACTACATGACAAGAGCAATCAGTTTGAAAAGGAGATAACATACTTACTACATGACAAGAACAATCAGTTTGAAAAGGAGATAACAGACTTACTACATGACTAGAACAATCAGTTTGAAAAGGAGATAACAGACTTACTACATGACAAGAACAATCAGTTTGCTAAGGAGATAACAGACTTACTACTTGACAAGTACAATCAGTTTGTACAGGAGATAACAGACTTACTACATGACTAGAACAATCAGTTTGAAAAGGAGATAACAATTACAACAAGACAAGGACAATCAGTTTGAAAAGGAGATAACTGACTTACTACTTGACAAGAACAATCAGTTTGTAAAGGAGATAACAGGCTTACTACTTGACAAGTACAATCAGTTTGAAAAGGAGATAACAGACTTACTACTTGACAAGAACAATCAGTTTGAAAAGGAGATAACAATGATACTTACTAAATGACATAATAAGGAAATAATAGACTCACTAAATAACAAGAATGATCAGCTTGAAAGGGAGAAACTTATTTACAGCATAACATAAACAATCAGTGTGAAAAGAATATAACTCACTTACCCTATAACAAGGACAATCAATTTGGAAGGGAGATAATGAATAATCAATTTGAAAAGAATGTACTTTACTTACCACATGACAAGAATGATTAGTTTCATGACAATATCGTTGAGTATATCAAAAAAGTCGATCATAACTTGGCCCCTTGGTCCCATCTTGCTGAGAAATATTGAGAAACCAACACAAAAACAAATCAATCCTGAAATATATCAGAAAACAACACATTACAGACTAGCATGTGGTATTATGATATTAACAATTATCTTAATAAAAAATAATTAGGACAATGACCTGAATAATCTATATCAACATTTATAGTAACACCATATAGGTCAGTATTCAGCAGTAACTTTTTTTGCCTTATAACAGAAAGAGGTTTTTTAGAAACTAAAACCAAAATAGTATAGAAATCCAGTCAAATGAAAATGTTCGATTAATGACTGATTTTGTAGTAATAATTGCATTACTAATGCAGTAAGGGTTTCTTTTGCACATTTTGGTCTCTTTTTTGGTAATTTATGTGGATTGTAAGCGCCATTTGCAATGAGTTAATTATTATCTTTGTTATGACTACGAAACTCAAATGGGAATAAGAAAACAAACTGGGAAACAACAATATCTTATCAACCGCAAATCTTTCAATTATGAAGATTTCCTTTCATCAAAAGACCCTTAATACTCCTTTAAATTGAGTAAGCTTTGCCTGCTTATCCTATCACAAGGGCAAGTAAAATCCATATAGCACTATATAAGATCTCATTTCTATTGTACTCAATTGTTACTGTAGAGAAATTAATTTGCTTAATAGGAAAAAAATATTAAAGTTTTTTAACAGAACAGAACAAATATTAAAGTTTTTAAAATGTGAAAATGTTACAATTCTCAACATCATATAAATTACTGTTATAAATCATATTGAAAAGCATTAATATTATTATAGCCCAAATACTGTCCAAAATTAATGATGCAAAGCCCTAAAACTACCATAAAAAAACATGATTTAATTACAAACAGCTCCATGCATTCTTTCAATAAAACCCCAAATCCCTACCACCCCACCCCCCACCTCAAAACTTCAAAAAAGTAAAATTAACATAATAAAATTTAAAGAGCAATTGGGGGCAAAATTGTTAAATGTTATTTTAAATCATCCCTTTAGGCTTCTTTTTCATGTGGATTAACTACTGAAATAACATGTTCTAGGGAGAATGCTTGTGCCCTAGAGAAACTTGCCAAAATTAACCAAGCCTAATGGCATCACTTAAACCTTGGTTTCTCCAGTTAATTTAAATAATTAGCTCTGACGTGAAGTAACACTACATTTTCTCTATTTTGTTACAAATACAATAGAAAAAGAGAGAGAGAACCAAATATAGAATGCAAAGCATGCAAAAAAAAGACCAGTGTAATTAATATAAATATTCCAGAAAATTCGTTTCTATTCTAAAACGAATTTTTTTTTATTTAAGAAAGAGATGTAGACAAGTTTTTGTTTCTTTTTTTCCAATAAAATGTTTTATTTATAATTCTGAAATTTACTTCTTTCTCCCTCTAAACATTAAAGGGACTCCACTGAATGAGGATTTCTGGACATGGCAGGACTGTCAAGATTTTATACCATTTGAGCCGCGCCATGACAAATCCAACATAGTGCGTTTGCGACCAGCATGAATCCAGACCAGCCTGTGCATCCGCGCAGTCTGATCAGGATCCATGCTGTTCACTTACCAACCCTATTACAAGTAGAGAAACTGATAGCGAACAGCATGGATCCTGATCAGGCTGCACGGATGCGCAGGCTGGTCTGGATCCATGCTGGTCGCAAATCCATTATGTTGGTTTTGTCGTGACGCCGCTCATTTGATGTGGGCCCATAGCAACAACATATGTGCAAATTGTCAGATCATTCCCTTACCCCATTTTTCTTGAAAAATAATGTCTAGTGTGCAAAATAAAAGCTCACTGTTCTTTCCAGATTAATCATTTTTGAAGTGCAAAATGACCTACAAATGAAAAGCTTTTTAAACACTTTAAACTTAAATTTGATAAAAAAAAATGCTAATTATTGATTTAAAATGGAATGTTTATTATTTATTTTCAATGGAATTCTAAGTATATTTCTTAATTATCTATTCATATATTTCTGTTTAAAAGTACCCCAGTTGATCTATGTATGATTGTCAAATTTTACGGTTTTTTTTTTGTTTTGTTTTTTTGCTTTAAGAGCTCAGTGGATAGCTCCTTTAATGTATTAAAGATGTTATGAACTAGAAATGTGTCATCATGCCACGGATGCCCCTGCATGCAGCCAAAATTTCAAATGTTATAATATTTAGTTCCAAATTTGTTTGCACAAATTATTTTTTTCATTCTAAGTTCAAAGCCCTTAAAACTTTTCAATGTTAACACAAACCATTTTTATACAATGTTCAAGGCACTGAAATTATTCAGTCTTAACCTTTTGAAAATAGCATATTGCATATTTGTAGCCAAAATAATGGCTATATACATTTCCACAAAAGTATGAGTGCTGAAACTGAAAGTTCAAAATTTTTCCAACATTCAGGAAAGATAAGTTTGTCCAAAATCATTGAACCACGACCAAATTCAAACTTAAACTGCTTATTCCTAAGATGTATCTATATTATTTTCAAAGTGAAAGGGACATAACTCTGCCAAAAAATCATCAAACCATGACCAAATTCCAACTTGACCTGCGCATTCCTTTGACATATTCATATGTCAATTTTGAGTTGAATATGTAACACTGTTGGGTTGATAATGAACAGAAACTGTAAATTTCATATCATTTTTAAAGTGAAAGGGGCATAACTCTGCCAAAAATCATCGAACCATGACCAATTTTGACCTTGACCTGTATTTCCTCATGACATATCTATATGTCAAATTTGAGTTTAATATGTGCAACGGTTATTAAGATAATGAACGGAAACTGATGATGACGGAAGGACAGAATGACGGAACAGGGTAACACTATATGCCCCTGCCATTATATGGCGGGGGCATAAAAAACCTTCTACGAATCAATTTAGACATTAACATTTATATATAGAAAACATTATAAAGATAACTTAACAAATACAGTATATTCTAAAATGTTTGATATCTTAATGTGAAGGTTTAAAAGGCATCCATGGGGAAAAGATTATGTAAATGGGCAGAAAATGACATGTTCCAATTCAAAAGCAGCACTTTTACCATATTACCATAATAGTGTGGGAAGTCATGAAGTTCAAAATCCATTTTTCATTAAAGGAAATATTGGTAAATGAGCTTCAAATCCTGAATTGTCTGTCACAATGTGTTACTGTCATAATGTGTTACAGCAGATATTTTAATTTTACAGTATGCTTAAGTTTGATATTTGAAAATATTGATAATTGCTATTCAGTCTTTTTTCAAAGCAGCATGCCTCAAGATTCATGTCAATTTTCATAAAAATTTTGAAAATGTATTAAGAAGTAAAATATTTTTTTAAGTGAACAAGGAACTTTCACATTGCAAAACGGCACTTACAATTCACGTTAATTACCAAAAAGAGGTCAAAACATACAAAAATAGCCCTTACTTGTAGAAGTTAAAATATGTAAAAATACCACTTGCTCGAATATAACATGTAAATCATTAATTGAATCTTGAATCTTTTTACTTTTCTTAAAACCTTTGTACATTTTTCTCAAGTTTAATTTTCTTGAAATATTTTGGCTCATCTGAAGACGTGGCCAGCTTTAATATGTTAATAAACCTCTTTTGAGTACAGACAGGACCTGTTACATTTTAAACTATACACAATCTAGATAAATACAGTATCAATACATAGTGTCATTAAAAAATTGGCATTTTTTTCTTCTTCAAATAAACATGATTGGTAATAGGGAATGCAGCTTCTCAAACATATTTCCTGCATTCTCTTATTCAAATTAGACATATTCAGAAATAAGGATTTCATGCATTTTAAATTTTTTTTCTAAAATTTAAGTATTTTCCAGAAAGATTGGCATAGCATATCATTCAGTTTAGAGAACCTTTATGAAAACTGAACATTTAATTACCAAGAACGTTTATTCCATTTCCATATTTCAGTCCACGTTTTTCTACCATCTCGACATATTCTACAATCTGCTTCGTAAAGTTACCGTCTTGGCTCGTGTATAGTGTTGCATTAATACGCTCACCCGTAGTCTCGTTTACCAGTATTGTTCCGTTAAGAATGATGTCATCAGTGAAAGGTAATAATTTAATACGTTTCTTTTTCACTTCTATATCTGAATATGATGTCTTCACATGCTGAAACATGGCCTGTGCCAGGTTGTCTGGGAAAAAATTCCTGTAAAATTTGAAAATTGAATTGTACTTTAGCTTAAAGTTCCTGTTAATGAAAAACTGTATCAATTTTATCATATTTTAAGAACTGATAATTACAGCACTGGTGTAGTACATATTTGATGGGGCACAAATTAAAAGTTCATATCTCCAACAAGGGCATTAATTCTGACAAAAAAGGTTACAAGTACAGTTATGACCCTTGATTATTGTTATTTACTTGAAGCAATTTCTGTTATCTGTAACCAACTCCTTGGTTCATAAGGATCATGATTATATATCTCCAAGTCCTTACTGTATTCTCCAACACAATATGTAAGGAAAGTAACCATAGCAACTGGTCACTTAGCATTATATACTTAAGAAATAGTACACAGCATTGAGTGCTTTATAGTATTAAAGTGACCAATAACTCAGCCTGCAAACATTTAACAGACAGAAGCCCAAGGCTCAGGTTCATTTTCTGTTTCTGGCTGACTGGGAGGTCACTATAATGCCATGTGGTCAGAAAAACTGTGTGAACATTATGGCAAAATGTGGAAATCATATTGTTTTAATCACAATTTCTTTTTTCAAATGTTCTGTAAATTGTTGGCAGTCAGCTTATATTACATGTGTATTTGTAAAAAAGTCCTCGTGGTTACATGCCTCTAAATTTTAGCAGTCCCACCAAAACATAATAGTGCCCACTCAGGCTGACACAAGATTTTTTTGTCATACAACTAGCATCATCGTGAAAAATATACTATTGAATGACCGACTGATACTTATATAAATAAACAAGAGCAACTGCCATGCATTTTGTGGCCAAGTAGGAAGATTATACATCAAGAACTTTAGAAGTTATTATCAACGTTAAAGTTTGCCAATGGCTATATGCCAACAAGAATCCGCCATTACTGTAACAATACAATACAAAAAATTTTTTTTTTTTGAAAAAAAAGTCTAGCTAAAAAGAAACACATATTCGTTTAAGGTATAATATATGTAATTATGATTCTAGAATTTACAGATACCTGGTAATTTATATCATATTGGATAAGACCAATTCATCACAACACTAAATCTATCAAGCAATGCGTTAATTATAATTACTGTTTTGCACTGTATCATCTAAAGTAATATTAATTACACAAAGTGATATTAATTACTCACCTAATGAGATCAAGTAATGCATCAAGGGAGGTAATTCTACTGTCTCCCTCGGCAACAGCTGTTTCGTCCTTCAAAACTGGGTCACCAGGATGAATAGAGACCACCAGAATAACGCCTATGATAATTGCCATGAAAGTTGTGCCGAAGTAGTACAACAACGTCCTCAATCCCATGTGACCACTTGCTTTTGCATCCAACGACGACACACCTGTGAACAATAAAACTTTAATTTATTATTTAATAAAACCATCTTTGTTAGTGAAGAATTACTGTAAAAATAAACTTACTATACTAGGATCCTTCCTATTTACCAGACAATCAGTTTACCGGACAAAATCTTTTTCTGTCGAATAGTACTTCATTTTTGTTTTGTTTTCAAAAGTCATCCTGTCTGAATCTCACACACACTGTCCATTTCAAAGTAAATAAGAACAAAATTACTCTCAGGTAAATATTGTTGATTCAGTTCTTTAATTACTAACATGCCCTTTTGTTGACTATGTTATTTCTTGACCTGGGGAATAATGTGTATTGATCATGCCCGAATATTGAGGCCTTTAATTTTTTTTTTTAGTTTACATCTTCTCTGCGTTATCTCAGCAGACAATCATAACATAATTTAATGATAAAAGTATATCTAAATTTAGTCCAAACAGTATTTTGTTGTTGTCTTTTACAAAGAAATGCAAATTAAAACTCTTATAAGGAAACGGGTTATGGAAAGGGAGGAATTTCTACATGAAATGTAAATCAAATGAATTATCTAGCTTTAACAGGCTTCATGATGACCAAAATGAAACTGTATGGCAAAGAACAGAATTCCAATTGAACATCAAAAATTTTAATACATTTTACTGATTTATGAAGAATCAATAATTATGTTAATTGAGTTAAAAATGTTAATTTCCATTACACCCCATATAGGCCTCTTCGGAACAAGCATGGCTACAGTGTCTATTTTAGTGACATCTTTGGGTTTTCCAATATCTTAACCTTGCCATTCAACGAGTAGTTCCCTAGCTGATTTATAAGATTTTTAAAGATTTATTTCATTTCACGACTCAAAAATATTATGAAACACAATGTCCGGTAAATTGAGTTGTCTACACAATTTCTTTTCTTTTATAATGCCATACTTTGAAGACAAATTTAATGGTCAAAATGTAAAATTTTGTGTTTGATAAAGTAACTTTTACATGTATAATAAGAACCCAAAATTAAATAGGTAAAATTCCATTATTTTAAATGGTTTTAAATAAAAGTTACAGAGAAAAAAACATCATATTTTGTCTGGTAATATGACGGATTCCAGTATACAGTTTTTTAAATTTTTCAATCTATGTATTCTTGAAAATTCTTGCTTCAGCATATCTGTCTTTATCATAAATTACTTTCTTCCAGTATTAAACAACTGACATGTTCTAAATCTTTTATTGACACATGTTTGCCTTTTCTACAGAAGCAAAAAATTATTCATTTTTATTTATTAATGTGCCTTTGGTGTGTGTTAAAATAATAATTATAAAATTAGGAACTCTCTTCATAGACTAATCTGGGATTAAAAACATATAAATTTTCGTCAAGTCCATTATAAGAGATAAATGTAACTGCTCTGATGTTGCAATGACACATAAAGTGAAAAATCTCATTTTTCAGATCATTTACATAAACTGGATCTATGAGAACTAGTGTAGATCATATTTATCTTTGTAACATTTCCCACATTGTTTCCTGTATTATTTTCATGTATCACATTATGAATGAAATACTAACATATTACAGTTAAATGTATGTAACTTTTGACCTGTATCAAAAGGGTAAAGTCATTGTCATAGAAACTGATTTCATTTAATATAATGGTAAATACTCAACATTGTATTTACTATTTAAAATAACTTAAATAATACTGTTATATTATAATCACCTTAGTGCAGAAACAGATTAACTCCATATATAATTTAATTTAGTTAAACCAGTGTTACTGCACCAAGCTGAGAATATGTTCATTTCCATTTATCTTTCTCTTAAATCTTTATCATTAATTGTTAATCTTCCCATTTTTCTTGATTTAAACTAAAGCCTGAACTGATAAGCTGTGTTATCTCTGTGGGGCCCATTAAGGAGTTATGCAGGAGATGAAATTTGCATAAAAAACAATCCTTTATAGTACATGTGTCTGCAATATACTAACAATCACTGTACTAACTCAACTTGTCCCTTATGACAGTCTTTGGAAATTGAAAATTTGGTCTTTGTTATTAGGTGGTCTTTAGATTCAGGTACATTTGTATTTATCATTTCATCATGCTAAACTTTCCAGCTACACTATTGTCAAATATTAAAAATCAGGCAAGAAAGCTTAAATTTAACCCAATTAAATTGACAAAGGTTTAAATGAATCAAAAGAAATAAAACTATTAGGCCTTTAATATACATGTGTAGGCTTAAATAAAACACAGTTTAGTCAGCTGACCACGTAGAGCATGAGCCTCATTAAGACCAAATGTACACGGTTTGACAGTACATCAAATAACATCATAAAAACAATGGAAAGCCAGGTATTTATAGAGGGGGAAATAAGAAACAAAAGAAACAATTAACTTCCACACAATTTGGCAAACAATACTGATAAACATGTAAATTTACATGCTGGTAATCTGGTTTGCTTGTCTAAAATCAAAATTTTTAAACACGGAGGAAATTGTATTTTAAAACTGACAGACTTTTAAAACATTAAAATCATGGCATTATAATCAAGTATAAACATCAATTTATAAAGCCAATACAAACACGGAAATGATTATCATATTGTTCCTTCTTTGATAATACAAAAATAACACTGCAGTTATAAAATATTGCCATGAAAAAATGGAAGACATAAAATATATTATGACATCAGTTTTAATCAACTCCCCCCACAATATTAAGATTGATCTGTCAGGGTTGTAATTTATGAGTCATTAGTCTCTTTTATGATGCATAACAACAGAATAAAGCTTAATTATTCATAATTGAGAAAGCGTTCTCTATAATTACAACAAACTGGCACGAAAATTTCTTTATACAATACCAATTATAATAACTTTCAGCTTCTTTTTATAGATAATTTATAAAATTTGTCTGAATAAAATTTAATGGTAAAAGACAAACTTCCCTACACTAAAATGTCACTTCATCCCTAGGCCTGGGACTCTTAAACTCACAAATACAGTAAAATATATGAAACTACAATAAGATATATGAAACTGCCTTAAAATACATGTAACTGCAGTAAAATACATAACAACAGTATAAACATTAACATCAGTAAAATACATGTAACTGCAGTAAAATACATGTAAAATACATGTCACTGCAGTAAAATGTAAAATGTAAATGAGATAAAACTGCAGTAAAATACATGTCACTACAACATATTATGAGTGAAATTTTCCATATCATGATTAAATGTAACTTTGTTTTAATATATAATTAAAATTCATGAATAAACCATATACTATCATCCCTTTCATTCCCTTGGGAAAACAGACAATTTTATAACAAATTGAGCTAACAAAATTACAACAATTTTCTGTCATGAATAATATTAACTGTAGACATTATATCAATTTTATTACATAATAACAATTTGCTTCAGAAAACTTTATTCTGTTATCTAAAGGAAGTCTATCATAGAAAATAATGCATATCCTGTATATAACTGAAGTGTGACAAAAAATCATCACAAGAAATCCAACATTGAATCTGAACATTATAACAGTTGATACAATATGTGACGGCCACTGTTCTTCTCTGACAAGCTGTTAAAACACTTTTACATAAGGTTAATTTCTCTAATTAGGTGCAACTTTGTTTATTGATGTAAGGGATAAAATAAAAATAAAGGACATATTGAAAATTTAGATTTTTTTTAGAGTGTTTTCCTTTTCTATATAGCAAGGGCCATTTACAGGCCTCTAAGTTCTGATAAAGTCTTTAAAATCATGCAGTTGTTTTCCCCCTATTAAATACAATTTATATCCCGTTTTGCAAAAATACTGTGTTATTATTTATTTTTGAAATATTGATATGTGTTGGTAGCCATAAGTTTTACCATAGATTTATGCCCATAAGTTTTACCATAGATTTATGCCCATAAGTTTTTACCATGGATTTATGCCCATAAGTTTTACCATGGATTTATGCCCATATGTTTTTACCATGGATTTATGCCCATAAGTTTTTACCATGGATTTATGCCCATAAGTTTTACCATAGATTTATGCCCATAAGTTTTTACCATGGATTTATGCCCATAAGTTTTACCATGGATTTATGCCCATAAGTTTTACCATAGATTTATGCCCATAAGTTTTACCATAGATTTATGCCCATAAGTTTTTACCATGGATTTATGCCCATAAGTTTTACCATGGATTTATGCCCATAAGTTTTTACCATGGATTTATGCCTATATGTTTTACCATGGATTTATGCCTATATGTTTTACCATGGATTTATGCCCATATGTTTATACCATGGATTTATGGCAATATACCATGGATTTATGCCCATATGTTTTTACCATGGATTTATGCCCATATGTTTGTACCATGAATTTATGGCAATATGTTTTTACCATGGATTTATGCCCATAAGTTTTACCATGGGTTTATGCCCATATGTTTTACCATGGATTTATGCCTATATGTTTTTACCATGGTCTGTAAAGATGAACTAATAATTATTTGCTACTGTTGGTACTGTTTAAACATTGTAGGTTCCAGTTTCCAAGACAAAATGTGATTTGTCTGAATCATATCCACAATATCATGGCCTAGAATTACTACGCAGAAGAACTCATTTAATTTTCTTTTAAATGTTTTTTGAAGAGATTAAAATATGAAACATAAATAAAACTTGTTATTTCAATAGAACATCTACTAGCCCTTAAAACAATCATTCCTGTAAAGTTTCATAAAAATCTACCCAATGGTTTAGGAGGGGATGTTGCTTAAAGCTTTTCTACTTTTAACTTTGGTGACCTGACCTTGTTCAGTGCACCAAAACCATTTGCACCACAGTGTTGCTTAAATTGTCCTGCTTTTAAGTTGGGACATTTAAAGTAATAAGAGATTTCAAAAACAAAATACAAAATTTTTGTTGTCAACAGTATAGAACAGTGATACAGGCTGGTCTGGCTCTTGATCAGATGCCGTAGTTAAAATG